TTAATATTGGAAATTTATTATTAAACCGCTGTAGTATCTCATAATCAACCAGTCATAAATGTCCCGCAAACGCACCAGTTTTTAATCGCTGTACCAGTCGTACAAATCGCCTAATAACGCTAGAAACCGCAACCACCCACATCCGCAAACTCCCGCAACCGCAATCGCAACCGCCGCGTTTCAACCAGTCAGACCCTAAGTCAAAATAACATCAAGCCTCATTACAACTCTATGTAGACATTGATAGTCAGTAGATCGATATGTGAGAAATTACTACCCTCCCAAAATTGAAAATCAATCCGAAATATATCATTACTTTTAAATAAAATCCAATAAACGTATAGAAATTTCTGGACGTACAAATATTTCATATACATCAACTTTTCAATATCTTTTGACTGTACTTTTCATTATTATTAATTAGTAAATAAAGACATATTTTCAACATATCCTTTTCGTGTACTTTAAAATCTACTTATGGCCTTTTAATCATTTTTTAACTCGGAATTTCGGATTAATTTTATGAAATATTTTAATTCGACGGTACAAATTGAGACGTGCTTATGCGCTGAGAGCATGATAAGATACTTTCATAGGAAAAGAAAACGTAGGCAGAATCATCTGCGTTTGTTATCCAATCCAAATAAACAATAACACACACCAAACAAATTAAAGTGGGCTCACGTTAGTCACATAGTATATGTAAGAGATGAACAATAAGTTACAACTGCAGTGAAATGAGAGTGTTCCTTTCTTCGAAGGTTGGGCAAAAGACTGTCGATTCGTTTATGGTTAAAGAGTCATAAACAAATGATAAAAATTAATATTTTTCACTGTAAGTTCAAACTATGTATCGTTTAAAAACTGTTAGTTTTGAAGTAAGCGATGTTTTAGGGTTTTAATGTTCAATTTAATATTGAAAGCTATAATTTAAATTTCATCTTGTTTCTTAATGATACAATAAAATTTTAATATATGTGAAATTTCTTAAACAAAATGTATAATGTAATAGAGAGAGCATTTAATAAAATATTAAGAGTCAGTTGATTTTATATGGTCAAAAGATAACTTTGATATGGAAGAGTCAGTTGATTTTAACCAACTTGTTGAAAAATTTCTTCATGTCATTTGCAGGTTGCCTGTGTTCGAAACCGTACAATGGAAGTTAAGATAAGGGCAAGCTATATATGTTACCAGCTTCTTGACAGATTCTTTTAACTTGTGGTAATCCAAAGACTGGGAAGTTTATATCTCTCAGTACTGCAATTTCAATCATGATTTGCTAATGGCAGCAGCAGACTTTTTACTTATTTGATAATTCAGTGATTATTCTAAGCTAGTGATGATAAAGTAGTATTGTTTTATCATATATAAGGTCATTCATTTACAGCTAGATATATGATCTGAACTGGACTAACCCATCATGATTACTTAGCAGCATCTTGGTTCTGTAAACTACAAGTAAATATACATATATCACTTAACGTACAACCTAACTTGGGATTTCATTGTAATGTTTTAAACATATCTATTTAACACAATCAAAACCACAATGTGTTAATCCCTCAAGACTCCACGTACGAGTGAGTGTTTGTTTACATAAGTAAAGTATACACCAAACATCACGAGTCACGATCATTGGTAGATACATCAAGTTTTGGTTAATACAGATCTGGAAATGCGACGAAACATGTGTCGATAGGACTTAGAAATTAATCATCATGTCACATATAAGAGTGTCTTATAGACATCGTTGGATCTATCACATGTTTTCGAAACTAGAATTTACGAGATTACCCTTAGAAAAAGAGTGTCTTGCGTTTTAGGGCAACGAAGAGAAGAAGGCAGAAGGAGATGAAAGAGTAATAAGATTCCTTTCTCCACGTGGACCCCAAACCCCACGCTCTCTCTCATTATGTGCATGTGAACTTGGCATCTTCTTTTTTTATATATTTGTTTCTTTAAATTTATAATATAAATTTGTATTTTATTTTATTTTACCAAGGAAACTGTCACTGAAAAGGATTAGTAACTCTTGTCTCACAATCCACCTTTTAATTACTCATTTTCGGTGTTACCAAAAACAAATTACTCATTTTCTTATATTTACCCATTTTATTTTATGTCATCAGATTTTTGAACACCAATTAATACAACACGAATTTATATATTTTAAAATAAAACCATATTAAATATATAATTAATTATATTTTAACTAATAAAAGAATATAATAAATCATATAATATATAAAATTGATTAATTTTGTACTAAAATTTTAATAAGACATTTTAATAGAACATTTATTTTGTAACGAATTTTTTTATTTTACAAGAGTAATGTAGAACAAAACAATATTATTTCTATTCCTAAAAGATAGACTTTCTAGTGTTTTCATACATATTAAGAAAACACATTAAATCACTATCATTTTTAGTAATTTTCAAATTTTCAACAACTTTTAGCCAATAGTAATATGATAAAACCAATTATTTTTTTTGAAACTTATAATTTTCTCATAGAAAACATAGAATATACATCTTTTTGAAATAAAATATTTTTCCAGAATATGAATCTTTTAGGAACGGATGGAGTAATATGTAAGAAAACAAAGACAACAAGAACCATTCATTTACAAAGGCTTTGAAAAACATTACAAATTACAGTTTTTATTATTTGCTTATGAAAATCCCACATTGTCTCCATCTTCAACCATTATTTATCTCTATTATCCCAAAAATAATTAAATCACATTTATTTAAAATTATCAACTTATTATTCTCTTAATATTTTTCTCAGTATAACTTAAAAATCAAAAATAGTAAAAAAAAGCACCCCCATCCAATATTTAAAATTTCTTCTGCATCAAAACTTAAATAAAGATTACTAATCTTTCACCACCCAAACCGGAATCATCAACCTCATCACACATTATTCGTCGTCTTGTTATCATTGCTTGGCACTAGCTCAAACTCACCTTCTCCTTCTTCATTCTCTTCGTCCTCATCTTCATCCTCGTATTCTTCATCATCTTCACCTTCTTCATCATCAAAGTCCAACGGCTGAGCAAGAGGAGGATGCTCAGGTTGAGCCACCGTTGCAGGAGGCCATTGTTGCTCCGGTTGGACCATCAAAGGAACCGAATTATCCGGTTTAGTTGAGGAAGAAGATGCAACGTTGTTGTATTTGTTCCTCTCTTTATACAAAGCATCAAGCTGGTGAAAGTAAGGACAAGTCTTGGAGTCTTGAGGACGTTTCTTGTTGCTCTCTTTGACTTTCTTGAAGTATTTGTTTATGTTTTCCCACTTCTCTTTGCATCTCTTTGAGTTCCTGTTGAATCCTAACCGTCTCATTCCCGCTGATATCTCTTCCCACAACGGTCCTTTTGGTCCGTTCTCTAGATACTTTGAATCAAGATTCGTCCTCAGCTTTATCAACGCCTCTATCTCCACTTTAGGCCACCTCGACGAGGAAGCAGAAACCGGAGTTGTCATGTTCTTATCACCATTGTCTGTTTTGGCAGTCTCTATGGTCTGTATCACTTGTTGAGTTGGCGGTTGGGGCGGTTGGGGCGTTTGAGGTGTTTGCTGCTGATTGTTGTTGTTATTAAACTGCGTTTGAGGTGGCGGTTGCGGTTGTGTTGGAGCGTTTGATTGACCTTGTTGTTGTTGTGGGTTTGGTTTCTCTGAAAACTTCTGAAGGAAAGCCATGACAGCGGCGTCTTTAGCGGCGGACATGGAGCGTTCTTGAGCTAAGATATCGCGTTCGCGGTTGATGCGAGCGATCTCTTGAGCTCTCCAAGACTCTTCTCTAACGATCCGCTCTTGCTCACGCTTCTCAACAGCTTCCAGGAACTGACGTTGAAGCTCCTCTTGCTTATCAACAACTTGTCTCATCAACCTCTCGAAAAACTCCTTACATTTCCTCCTCTTCCTCTTCTTCTTCTTCCTCCCGTCTCCTCCGCCGCTGATCTCCACGTCAGAGGAAGTGGAGTAAGAAGAGGAAGAAGACGTTGAATTATCCGATAGAAAGTCTCCGGAGATGTTTGGAAACGGAGGAAGAGCAGTGATGTTTGTTGGAGGAGGAGTTGTGAACATGGAGCTGTTGTTGTTGTTGTTGTGAGGTCGTAGAGGAGGCGGTTGCGTTTGTGGCGGTTGCGGTTGAGGCGGTTGATGTTGTTGTTGTTGATGATGAGTCTCGAGAGCTTCTAATTGATCAAAGAAGCGATAAGTTTTGCCTTCGGATTTACCGGAACGACCTTCTTTGGTTCGTTTGTGGTATTTGTAAACGTTTTCGAATTTCTCTTTGCATTTCTTTGCGCTTCTTATGTAACCAAGTTCCCCCATTTTCCTGATAAAATATACTTACAAATTTTAATTCATATGAATTGTTCATGAAAAAGACACGAATTGAGTTTGTCTGAATAATAACACTAATAAATTCAGTAAAATGAGGATATATATATAGTTGAGAAAAGTGGATCAATCATATCAGCATGAGTTTGAATTTGAATTTGTGAAACACTCTTCCTTTTATCAATCTCATGAATAAAACATGACCCAACTAAATTAACACTTAATTAAAGTTTTGAAAATTGATTAGAAACACTTCAAGAACTGTCCTGTCTGAATCTGAATCTCGAACTAAATAAATTTCACAAATCTCATTGGACTAGTGAAGATATAAAAAACGACATTTCTATGAAATTTGGAGAACGGATTTCACTTAACCAAACCGAATCTGAGACAATTAAACTCTATAAAAACCAGATCTTTAAACTCTCAAAAAGACACAAAGCTTTGTAATAATCTTTCACTTGTAAGGAAAAAAAAAGACACAAGCTTTGTAATAATCTTTCAGTTGTAAGCAAAAAAAGACACAAGCTTTGTAATAAACAAGACAAAATCTTGAACTGGAAACGCACCTGGAAACCTCTTCCCATAAGGGTCCTTTAACGTTAGCGTCTCGAAACGCTATTCCCATGTCAGATCTTATCTTCAGCAACGCCACCGTTTCCTGCCGTGGCCACCGGTTTCCTCCGAATCCCCGGTCGTTCATTTCCTCCGACACCTCAAAAGCACCAACCGTTGCTGCAGCTGCCGCAGCTTCTGTAGCGGCCGCCGCATCGTTTGATTGTGGCGGTGGCGGCGCCTCTGCGTTTGCGTTTGTGGATGTGGTTGTAGTACCACCACCAAGCTCCATCATCGTTTTAAGGGTTTTTGGATTTATTCACTTCTCTCTGTCTTTGACGGAGAAGTTTACAGAGATGAAATAAAAAAAATTAAAAAAAAAAGGAAAAATAAAAATTCATAGAAGAAAGGGAAGAAAATGGTTGAGAGAGAGAGAGAGAGTTAACATGAGGAAGAAGAGTAGTGAAATACCTCTAGGCGCAGGGTTTTATGGAGTTTATAAGAGTTTTTGTAAAATACCTAAAGTTGAATTTTTATATTTTTATGTTATTTTCTGGTGATGGATCTGCTTGTAAATCTCAAGGAGCTATTCTATATATATATATTTATATTTTTTTTCTTTCTCTTTTACCTATTTTATTTTATTTTATTTTATTTTATCACCTTTTATTGATTCTTTTCCTTTGTTTGATTCAAAATTCCACTCTCATTTATATTCCAGTTTTGGCTAAATTGGTGTTTACTTTTTTTTTGTAATAAGATGTTTATACTGTAATGTGTAATTAAGCTTGGTCATTTGGTGTTTCTATAATTCTGTCAAGAAAGTAATACAGTAATGAATGGCATTGAGTTGAACCATATCAATGTGAAAAATGTATAGTCAATGAGATTTAGACATTTAGTAGCTTCTTTTGAGATCATGTATTGTATATATTGTCAGTCAAATTAATAAAGAAAGATATATAGCTAATTTTATTGTCCAATAATCTTCTTTTAATTTTGCATAAGATTTATATTTTAGTATGCTTAGTTATATAATAAAACACTTACATAATATGTTAATATTATTTTAACATATTATATTTAATTAATATAGATTGTGAAGAACGTTACGTTAAAATTAATAATTAAATAAAAAATAAAAAAATTAGTGATAATTAGTAATATAGTTTCATTTGTATTATTGTTATTGTGTCGTAAACTAAATTTGAGTATAGTAAATATAACATAAGATTTATATAAGATTTAGTTTTAATTTTTCATAAAATAAAGTACTTACATAATATGTTAAAATATTATTTTAATATATTATATTTAATTAATATAGATTGTAAAGAACGTTACGTTACAATTAATAAATAAATAAAAATAAAAAAATAGTTATAATTAGTAATATAGTTTCATTTGTATTATTGTTATCGTGTCGTAAACTCAATTTGAGTATGGTAAATATAGCATAAGATTTATATAAGATTTAGTTTTAATTTTTCATAAAATAAAGTACTTACATAATATGTTAAAATTTTATTTTAATATATTATATTTAATTAATATAGATTGTAAATAACGTTACGTTAAAATTAATAAATAAATCAAAATAAAAAATTTAGTTATAAAAAAAAATTAGTTATAATTAGTAATATAGTTTCATTTGTATTATTGTTATCGTGTCGTAAACTCAATTTGAGTATGGTAAATATAGCATAAGATTTATATAAGATTTAGTTTTAATTTTTCATAAAATAAAGTACTTACATAATATGTTAAAATTTTATTTTAATATATTATATTTAATTAATATAGATTGTAAAGAACGTTACGTTAAAATTAATAAATAAATAAAAATAAAAAATTTAGTTATAATTAGTAATATAGTTTCATTTGTATTATTGTTATCGTGTCGTAAACTAACTTTGAGTATAGTAAATATAGCGGAAGATTTATATAAGATTTAGTTTTAATTTTTCATAAAATAAAGTACTTACATAATATGTTAAAATATTATTTTAATATATTATATTTAATTAATATAGATAGTAAAGAACGTTACGTTAAAATTAATAAATAAATAAAAATATAAAATTTAGTTATACTTAGTAATATAATTTCATTTGTATTTATTGTTATCGTGTCGTAAACTAAGTTTGAGTATAGTAAATATAGCATCTAAAAACTAATTGCTGTTTAAATTTTGGATTTAAAAATAATAAATAACTAAAATAATTTTAAAAATTTTAATGAGGAAAAGTAAAAAGGAGAGCAATTGGGGATGTGAAGCTAAAATCAAGAGTTTACCATCATGGATTGTATGTGTAATGATGAAAAAGTGGGCACAAAAAGGTATATACGAAGGAAACTGGAGGACTAGTTGTTAAACCAATTATCTTCTCTCTCTCTCTTTTTTTAGTTTGCTGTTAAAGAAAGTTATTTATTACAGATATCCCAATTGACAGCTGCGCATAAAGACGGTGGTGATTTTATTAGTTGGTTTCTGTCCGTCCAGCAAAAAAAAAGCATTTTGTTTAGTTACAAAGTTTGTGAGTTTCATATTAACATTACTCTTTTAACGTGTTGAACTCTATCATATACAAACAATAAAACAAAATTATTTTGAAAGAAAAATATACAGTGTGTCTAGACAAACCTACATGCATTTAAACATCATAACTTATATATTTATTTTATGATATCTTTATATCTTATTAATGATAGAGGTAAACCGTAAAAAAGTATTGGTGGAGATGAGAATCAACTTTGCTTTTCGAAACGTTGCGGCCTTGCGGGTGACTTAAGTAAATTCCAATATTAACCCTAACGTGGATCCCATTGACCTTTAATCATTGAGGGTTATTTAGCTTTTGTTTTCTTAGTTCAAACATAAAAAATTCATTAATAATCTAACCTATCCTGATTACTGATCTGGATTTGTCTCCTCTCACATTCACATACATAAGATTATTCTAATCTCCACAAGTATTGATCGCCTACACTCTATAAACACGGGCTTGATTTCAAATCAATCCGGAGATATGATGTTTTTTCGATAACATCCTAATAAGTAATAATAACCCAAATGAAAGCAATAAAATAATAAATATAAATGATGAGGGGAAGTAGTTAGATGTAAGTCATTTTCGGGACTGAAGTAAATGGTCACCATTTCCCGTTGAGGCCATACATAGCTTCCGTTATATTATTACTTTTCAATATATTTTTTATTGATTTTTGTATCATATTGAACCGATTTGACGACCGTCAATTTAACTAATTAACTAAATCAATAATTTAATCACTTAAACCCAATCAATTTCTATAGTTCAGTAATTAATTTCTCTTACGTTTTTGGTACTTATAAATTTCCATTATCTTCTGTTTTAATCTAATTAAAAAATATCGTGGATAAAATTTTAACGAACCCGACTAATACCATGATTATACAACCTTGTGGAGCAAATACATACCATGTTAAACATTTTAGTATATTTTCTATCTTGTTGTTGAGAAGAGAACACATTATATTACATTATTTTATTACGGAGAAAAAAAATATATTTACAGTTTTCATATTTTATTAGTGAGAACAAATTACGTAGTAAATATCTGCAATGCATGTCTTTTTGCTATACGTTGATACTCTAATATGTCGGGCCTTTAAACATAGACCCCTTAAATATAAGCGTCGTGTATCATTTTTGTTGGTTGCAAAGACTGTCCTATTAATATAGAATTGTTCAATCTTTTTTATTATTCTTCAAATGGATCAAATACTTTTTCTCTAGGCACTTGATTTTTTTCATAATGTATCAATTTAAAAAAAAAAAACACTAACACAATCGTAATTTTGAATTCATATTAGATGTAAATTATCGAAGAGATCAAGAATTTCATCCAAACTAATTATGATCATGGTAACGATTTGGATATTTAATGGATTATACATGAATATGAATTGAAATGTTAAACCAGGGACCATTCTTTTGGTAGCTCCTAAAAGCATTGAATAGGATTTTCTACGAAATGATATAATAGCCACTCGATTCTCGCATGGCTCTCGACTCCAACGTTACAATTTTTATCTTATTCTCCTTAATAATTAAAAAGTATGTTTATCTGTCGTGAGTCTTTCTCGTAAGTGCACTTTGGAATTGAAAACAGCCACTAGTAATTTTGAAAATAGCGAGTTTAAAACACTGTTGAGAAACTAGCTTTACAAATGACAGTTTAAGAGCTAGGTAGAAAACTCAGTAAATAAATAACACTAACAGAGTATGTGTTCAAAAAAAAATTAACAGAGTTATTAGTGTGCAAAGAGAATTAAAAAGCCTCGACAATGTGTAAATCAGTTATTGATGGGGCCAAGGTCAATTTAAGGTGGAAAAGGAAGAAGCACAAACATACAATTGACTGAACAAGGAGCCATGGACCCATTTAAAATAAGAATTTACTACAGGAATAACACGCAATAAAAAAGTGAAAACTGTTGGTAATTATATATCATACCCACATCAATGATCCTAAACGATATCAGATCTCGTTGATTGTATGTTGACCTAATAGCCAATAGCTTAATATAGTAAAATTTTAATAAATTAATAATGTTAGGACTGAAGTATTTCATTAATTTATAAAAAAAAAATTTAAAGAATTTTCTAGTTTCAAATATTTTTTTTATAAAATAAGAACATTTGACTAAACTGTATACACATTAACTAAAATTTCCAATGCAACCTTTATATGATTTTATTGAAATATTTGGTGTATATAAATATGTTTGATATAATTTAAATGTGGTTCTACATATATTTTTAATAAATATCATCAAAATATAAAGATATATAAATAATTTCATTATGAATATAAACAATAATACAATGATTAGTTTGTACTTATATAAAATGTATATATATGTAAATTGTTAATTTGTGATTTTAATGACACTATACATTTTATTTAAAATTTTCTATAAAATATATTATCATATTATCTTATTGATTTATATTATATTTTTAACCGGTTCATCCAGATAAATATATCAATTTATACAACTTTGATCTTATTAATTTAGCAGACAATTATAAGTTCAGCTTTAGTTACCATAATTACTCGCACGGAAAATCATACACACCCACAGTATAATATACACATGAACATATGTGTCAGTGTGGTCCGAAATACTCCGAACTAATTAATCGACTCTAATGCACATGACTGAATTTCCAACATGGCACTAGTATACAAGATCCAGTGTTTATGTTTGCCAATAACTTCAAAGAGTTGTAAACAGTGAAATGTATATGTACACTAATAGACTCTGTCCCAATATATATATTGGGTATTTTGATTTTCTTCATGCAAACTATTATATTAAAAACAATCATATTGATATATAGTATTACTAAAAAACTTGATGTATATATACTCCAGCAGATTTGCTCAAAAAAAAAACTCCAGCAGATATTTACATTTTTTGAAATCCTCAGTTGAACTAGAATAGAAAGTTCTGTGGTTCCGCTTGCTTAACGAATAATTACTACTAAACCTAGATACAGTGTGAAAGTGAATGGATTGTTTGGTGACTTGTAGGGATGATTAACATGTCTACATCACTCTATATATAAATATTATTGATCTACCTACATATATCAATGAGCAAAATGTATATAATAATTTGTACATAACAAACAAATCTAATTTTAAAATGAGCATTATTTAAGGATTCATAAATCACACAGAATAAAAATATATTTGTATAAGTTAAAGAATAAAATAAAGGGTAAATAGATTCTGCTACTTAGAAGATTAAAAATTATACAAGTGTAAGGCTAGCAATTAATTAAGTAAAATAGAGTTTGCCTATATGTTAAAAGATTTAAAGTTTTCAACAAAGGAGAAAAGGGTTGATCCAAGTGTAGGTCCACATAAAGGATTCATTAAGAACTTGAAAAGGGTTAATATCTTGGGATTAACCTTTTATATATATAAAAGTTGGTAGATCCATACATAAATTACGTGCAATGGCACATATATATAAGAGAGAGAAAACTTGTTAATTTCAACTTCCGTGCAGCTAATAGGTAAAGTAGAAATTCAATTTGACGATGACTAGTTGACCCATGTATTGATACTTCATGATATATGTAAATTTGAATTGGGTAAATAATAATAGCAAAGGCGAATGGAAGGGGTGTAAAAAGGGAAAAAGAAGGGATAAAAAGGAAAATATAGAAATCACATGGGAAGGGGAAGGCATGTGGATCGTGGGTTATCTAACGCCACTTTGATCTTACCATGTCTTTTACCTTTCAGTTTACATGTCTCCACCATTTTTATTTATTTGTTTTGATGTGGAGTGTATATATCCATTTAATTTATTTTTATACATGCAATTTACTCCAGTTTTAGGAAAGACCAAAATTTACTATTCGTTTTGTTTGTAAAATTATGCTTATCCAAATTTTATTTAGATTAGATTGAAACAAATACTTTTCCCTAACTCTGATTTTATTAGACAAGCAAAAAGTAAAGATACCGTTTATTATTTATTTATGGACATTAGAAAATGGACCAGGTGGTGTGTCGGAGTTAATAAATGAAATCAAAGGGGGGGGGGGATTAACGTCAAGTTAAACAAATTGTTTAAAATATGTATAAGTTAAGCAAACACTATTAAAATGCTAATTAACACAATCCTAACTTGAATTCAGCATAACATACGAAGGCCATTTCTAATAACTCTGTTAATTAAGAACCTTTTTTGTAGATGATAATATGCGGAAAGGAAATGAAAAGATGAAGAAAGGCAAAACAAATTGGAAGATAAAAATACAGAGGAGAGGCTCTTGTGAATAAGGAAAGGGCAAAAAGAGGTGAAAGACAGAAAAAACAAAGGCCATTTCACATTCTTCTTTTGCCTTTCTTCCATCACACAAATCATACTTTTAACTTTTCTTTCCTCCAATTTGTACATATTGTTACTAAAGACTTTTTTTGATCAAATTGTCATATGGAATTTGCTTTTTATAATTCATATGGTGGGTACAGAAATCAGTAAACATAATGTCATGGCCTAATTTTGTTTTCTTACTAGCCCAAACACTAACAAATTTTTGGGCCAAGCTTGTAGTTTTCTATTTGTATTTCCCTACCATTTATCAATTATCACAAATTTAGATTTTCCAAAGCCAAACAATTGTAACAGTTATTTTATTATGTTGCTTTGTTTTCTTTCCCTAAAACCAAAAAGACATATTAAAAAAAAAAAAAGCTTCAATGACTTAAATAAAAGCTCATGGCCTCATCCCTTTAGAGAGAATCAATACCTTAAGGAAGAAAGCTAATTTAGAGCAGTCATAGTCTTTTGACAAGTTACTATCTGTTCCTGTCTCTCTCACTGACTCACTGACACTAACATGACAAACCTAAGCATATAGAACCACTTTCTATATATGGAAATAGATAACCAAGAAACTTAAATCAGAAATATGGAAACAAACAATACCTTTAGAATAAACAAAAGCCTAATCTTAAGCTCATCAAACTGTTAGGTACACTGATCTATAGTTGTTACCACTTTTTGTTACAACTACATTGAACTTAGACTCAATCCACTGCTTCTGTAACGCTACATTGTTGCAATATTGAATATGATAAATTCAGTGTTGTACTATTTTCCCTCAAGTCGTTGAGCATAAAAAGGCCGTGAGGACTCAAGAGTTTAAATATGGGCCTAAATTGGGCCTTGGCCCAAATATTTCTAAGGAATGAAACGTTTAAGCTTCTTCTGGGTTGTAAATAGCGGCCGTGAGAGATCAGAGCTTTGTTTCCGGCTACGATTCCCTGAGAGAAGTTTTATATAATGTCTGGCGAGGAAGACGCAACTGTAAGGGAGCCACTAGATCTGATTCGTCTGAGTCTCGACGAGAGAATCTATGTCAAGCTCCGTTCAGACCGTGAACTTCGCGGCAAGCTTCATGTACGTTTTGTTTTTCTAGGGTTTTACCTTTTTTTGAAAGTTTCAATTTTTAGCAAACGTTTTTCTGGTTATAGCGATTAGATGTTATTGGGGCTTCTGGGTTGTCATGTTTTGATGGAGGGAGCTTCAATTTCGACCAAAGTTTGGAACTTTAGGTTTAGACACTTATGTCTGATTTTGCTTTGTTTTGTCCGAGCAGGCGTTTGATCAGCATTTGAATATGATTCTGGGTGATGTTGAAGAAGTTATCACGACAGTAGAAATCGATGACGAGACTTACGAAGAGATTGTCAGGGTACACTTGCTTACTTCTCTCTTGTTAACTCAATAGGATTTGTCAGGTCTTTTAGCTATTACATTCATATGTCTCTTATATACAAGTTTCAGCTTGATGAGTGTCTGTGTTAATACATTTACTTAGCTGCTCATATTCAGACAATTAACAAAAATTAAGAGGGTTGATTAGCTGTTGCTTAATTAAGTCTCTTTAAGGTTTCAGACTCTTAGTTTTTTGCTAGTTTCTGATATATGATTAGAATAATATGTTTTGGTTACTCTACCTGTGATTGCAGACGATAAAGCGCAATATTCAGTATCTGTTTGTGAGAGGAGATGGAGTGATATTGGTGTCTCCACCTCTGAGGACAACCTGAGTTTAAAGACTCAAGGAAGACTCTTTTAAACAAAAGTCTTGTGTGTCCTCTCTATGAAGGGCTTTGTGACTAGTGGTGTATTTTATTCAGTAGTTTGTTATCTAAAAACTCAAAAAACTTCAATGTTGCTTTGATTCCCAATTGCCTTAAGATATTTCTACCTCTCAACTCTTTTGGTTTAGCAACTTTTCATCGTGTGATTTTCTTAGTTAACAACCCAAATCATCTGAGTTTTACAAATACAGAGCAAGTTCTAGATCTTCTTTGTAAGTCTCTATTCACTTCTCTTGGTATGTCATCTCAGGGAAATTAATTTCCAGTTTATATCACTAAACATCAAAGATTTGTCAAATAATATTATTACATGATAAGAATTTTTACAAGAAACAATGGGTTTCATTATTAAAAAGATCAATTTTCCAGAAACCCATTGTTTCTTGTAAAAATTCTATCGACATACTTTAAACTAACTACCAGGTAAGTGGGGAAGAAGTTGCTTCCGTGGTTTTCTCCAATTTTGAATAGAAAACCGGTGGTCTAAACTCGTAAACCCACAAATGAAAATGCGCAGGATTAGTTATCCATGGATGAATGGAAGCTAGTTGTAAAACTGAAGAACATCTTCAAGATACAGTAGATAACCTCACAACATTCAGATGTCAACTTTTGGTACTTGAAACACTCACACATGCCTTAATTGCCAAGTGTCTGCGTCGATGCAAAATGAACATATTCATCTTCCCTGCTTCTAACCGAAATCATTCACAGAAGCTTCTGAGAGAGGTTAAAAGAGAGACACAAAAGAGTGTTGAATAATTGGTTCATGAACCCTCCTCATGCTAGCAAAATTGCAGGGAACACACGAGAGGTTGAGTTTTGAACCAGTAACTAAAACCACGTAATATATAGATCACAATGAATAAGTTTAACGTAACATAATTTTTTGTTTTTAATATAACGAATTTTAAATTTTAAGCATTTTGGTTTACGGCACGAAAATATTTTTTTTTATTTTTTTGGGGAAGTATAACTAAAAGCAAGCTGCTCCTCCTTTTATGGAGATGTGAAAAGCATGTAATGGAAATCACACATAAGATTTTTATGTATTATATACGACAACAAATTGTAAAGTATCTCTCTTTTCTGACTTTATAAATGTTGTCGAGATCATCGATATGATATGTTATGAGTGATCGATATATTGCTTTACTGTATCTAATATGAACCTTTATACTTGTTTTTCTTCTTAAAAGAATTCCGTCTATATATTATCTAAACATTTAACTTCACCTTTAACAAAGATTATATTTGTTCAGCCATCACAGATCAGTAAAGTGTGTAGTTGCTCTGTTATCGTAAGTAGCATTATCCGGTTCTATGGTTCATCCACTTTGTTCGTCAGCGCCAAATCCAAGATTTTTATATCCACTACTTCTGTTGAGATTCACCTAGTCTCTTCGAAGAACGTTCTCATTGGAGCTAGAGTTTGTCTTGCTCGTTCTGCCTCATACCAAACTTTGTTGTTTGGTCAATTCAACGTCGATTCCGACTATTCCGTGCTCGTGCTAATAACCTATTCAGGGATGCATCCGATGATATCTTACGGTTCTCCTCTTGTCGAGCAAGTATCTCATGTTATCTCTTATTTTGTTGTTCCCGTTTCTGCATTATGTTGTTCATCAAACCGTCGAGAATCCCTCCGAATATTATCATCTTACCGTTGAGCATAGTTCCGGATGTAATCGTTTAGACCTTTTAGTTTAGTACAATCGTTTGACAAAAAAAAAACTCCACGTTAAAATACTTGTTTCTTTAACTGCGCCAAGAAACAGCATATGGTATGTGATCCAATTATTTAACTAAAACGTCTAAATATATGATATGATCCACCATTATTTCATTTCATGTAGAAGTGACAGCAACTTATATGATCAGTATTATGATATGACCAAGAGAGATTAATACTTGATATGTAAAGTTGCTATTTCCACTGTTGGCATATTTTATAGACAAACGACAACTTATTATCAGCAAAACGAATATTGTCTCATTCAAAATTTCATTTTTAACAAACGCTTACATTATTATTACAGAAACTTCCTATCAAAGTTCCCGGAAATAAAACGAACCGGCCCTTATCGTAATAGTTTACAAGTAACGTTTATTATCAGACCGTTTCAAGTAAAAGAGTTTGTTCACGTACCGTAAAACATACCGCCCGCATCGCATAAAAAGATTATTCACGAACAATTCAAAGTCCATATAACCCAATAAGCTTAGTTAACCCAAAAGTAACACCCATAGCTAACCACCCTCCAAACAAAACCCTAGCCGAAGACCTAACCGCTGGTGCCTTCCCTAACGCCGCTCCTAACCACCCAAAAGCCACAAGCGCCACCGTAACCGCCACCACAATCGCAATAATCCTCACTCTATACTCTTTCACAAACGCAGCCGCCAAAAGCGGCACAATCGCGCCCGCGGAAAACGCAAGAGCAGACGCAGCAGCAGCTTGTAGTGGACTAGGAAGCTTCTCTTTCTCTACTTCACCACTCTCTCTCTCCATCTGAGCTAACTCTATATCATACTGAGAGTAAACGGAGACGAACTCTCCTATCGCCATGCTACAGGCTCCGGCCACCATTCCGGCGAATCCAGAGAGAATCATAGCTTTGACGTCGTGTTTCACGGCGCCAACTCCCATCATCAACGACGCGGTGGAGACAAGACCGTCGTTGGCTCCGAGCACGGCGGCACGTAGCCATTGAGCGCGTTTGGAGTAGTTAAAGGTTGTTGTTGATTCTTTCTCTATGTCCATGTTAGTGTTACGAACTTGATCCATTTTTTCAATATTTTTTTGTGTGTGTTTTGTTTGAGCAAGAGAGTCGTGTAAGTGTGGAGAACACACGCCCAGGCTTATTCTATTTATGGAGATTTTGGAGTTTACTTTTTGCCTTGGTGGAGACAATATGTGGAGCATTACCACTAAATGGTTTTTTTGTTGTTGTTGTTGCTGGTATTAATTTATGATACTGGAAAGAAAAATAATGTACTAAACGGCACTTAGTTAGGGTTAATCATATAAATATTATACTATAACCATGTTGTTTGGGATTTGAATGTAGTAACCTGCAGAGATATTGATTTTTCTTCTAATAATATTTCAACTTGATCGTGTAGAGTAGATACATATGCTATATATTGCTTCGTGTCTAGCTATATATATTCAACAAATAACATAAAACTAAATCGGTTTGCGTGGAAACGGATCTTCTAGTTAACTTTTGCCCTAACATAAATGAAAATATGAAATATTTGGGCATATATATATATAATCACGTAACATAAGTTATGAGCCCTAACTATGTAATATACGATAAGTGAATTAGCTGCAGTGGCATACCGTTTTCATAATTGATAAATAATTAGACGAAGACTAATCATTTTTAATATGACGTCGATCGATCGAATTCAAGAAACTGAGAGATAATTTTTTTTTTTTTTTAAACAGGATTTCTTTGAAGAATTAAATAGAAAGGACAAAACCTATAGTTACAAAGTAGGATGCCATAAAAGAAAGGTGATGTGAAAACAACATTGAATGTTTTCTCACCATCTTTGCATAGAAATCCTTAGTGAGGCCAAAAAAGGCAGTTACATAAGAAGCTGTTGTGTCCTCATCATAATCAAAGGCATGCATGCATGTCTTCTAGAGAAAATTAAGAAGAACGTACTTAAATAAAGGAAGAAATCTGCAACTTGAATGCACAGTGTTGGCACATGGATCAACTCACCCAGGTGGATTTTCTGTTAAACATAAAATTTACTTATATAGTAATTCCTTAAAAAGCAGTTAATTGTTGCAAATTTTAGCTAGATGACCTCTATAATATATATTATTTTAGAGATTGACCTTCCTATAAAATTTTAGTAGTTCTGCCACTGACTGTAAGCAATCTTTAATTCTTTTATGTTGAGCATATATTTATTTTTTGAAACTTTGTTGAGCATAGTTATTTTATGATCCAATAATACTGATTTTTAAAATATGATTATTTTGTTTTCTAATGGTAGTGAAGTATATATATCAACTAGAAAGTTTTTTTTTAAAGGTATATCAACTAGTTAAGTATATGTTGAGATAATATAAGGATGGAATTTGGGAGTGTACGTAAAAGATATAGTAAAGAGTGTCGACATATACAGATTAAATTTCTCATCTTTTATCATACTCACACGGAACTTCGGGTACGCTGAGTTTTCAAATCAGTTGTTTTGTTCGGGGTAAAGTTATTTGATTCTTTCTCTTTAGTTTCATTTATTTTTCGTAGTTTTTATACCCTTTTCTTGATAAAGAAAGGAACAAAAAAGGAGAAAAGAGGGAAAATGAGTAGCTAATCAGACACACTGTTTTTATTCATTTAGTTTTTTTTTTTAGTTTTTAGTAATGTTTGACCAAAAGTTAACATAATTGTAGATTTTTAGTAGTGTTTGACCAAACGTAATAAAAAATTGGATTTATCAGAATATTGCATATAAGTTTTTTATTCTGTAACTTGTTTTTTTTTTAAAAAAAATCAAAGTTGGAAACTAATCTTTTCAAATTCACCGCAGTATACAGCTAATTTGCTTTTATTTTTTAGCAAGTTACAATAGAAATTTTTAAAAACTATTATAATACCACTACATAAACGAAGAAAATTTGAGAAAATAATAGAGTTATGTATAGACTAGCTAGCTCTTTGTAATTAAAATCCTTATTAAAATCGAACAAGTACATCGAATATAAAATAGAAAAACCCAACTGTCAAAGTAATCAAATACGAATCAGATGTTTATTCACGAAACCAATTCCTAGATCCCCCGAAGATCACAATGGGCAATTATATCCGTTTGAAAGTGAAAAACTCTATTAACAAATAAGATAGTGAACATATGTAAGTAGGGTTTCGTTATATATAAAGTGATAAAAGAATGGTTTGATGAATTGGAAAGCACTGAGAAGATTAGAGTGAGATAAAATAGTGGAAAGAGGTTTATCAATAAAGAAAAGAGGAAGAGTGTGGTTTCCACACGAAGAGCACCATCCTTCACCATCACCACCCACGCATCACCACACTTGTACATATATATATATACCACCACCCGATTCATCTCATATTAATGTAATCTCTAAGACTAACTAATTAAAATGTGTAATTTCAAATGCTGTAGATGTATATATATACACTTCTTATCATGCAATGAGCATGCATACGTACTCGCCTACGTACATATACTCACGTTGTATCACAACGACTGACTAAAGTTTTGAAACTATTTATTAATAGACACTCTTAGTAATTTGGATTATACTAAATAACTCGAATGTCCGTGGAACACTGTAGACATATAAGTTCACAAGAAGCATCTTTCTTTTTATTTTGTGTACATATAAAAACTTTATTAAAGAGTAATAACATGTTGTTATACAGACGTTTTCCAAAAATGTTTTATACCATATAAAATGATGAGAGAACAAAACAGAGCAGATAAGCAGCAAGAGAACAGAGCGATAGCAAACAGTCACAAATAGTCATGACTCATATACACTGATCCAACAATTTTCTTGTAACATAAGGTATTGATTTTTTTTTGATGATATACAATCCTCATGATTCTCTAAGCTAACTAGGGTTATGTAAAAAGAGCTAGTTAGGGTTGTGTTTTTCGTCTCACCAATACGATAAATACTAATCTACATATTATAATATTATATATACATGCATGCTAGCTGGTGTATATATCTCAAAACAATTACACTTAAAATTAAATGTATACTAATTGAAAGAAATGATCACGATTTTTGGAGTTTCTCACATATAAATTAGGGTTATTATTAGAAAAGAAAAACGAGTGAATATCTAATTGTGTTTTATAGACAGGAATGTATGGAATTATTTTACTGTAGTTATACAAATTAAATATACTGAAAAAATTTAAGCAAATTTCAACTTATTTATTCATTTAGTAGCCGTGGTAGCTTTTGCGTGTGTTAGTATTATCATATGATTGAGAAAATGTTTCAGCTTTATTTTTGTCTTTCAAAATTATAACCGAATAATAGGAACGCCCATTCGATATGGAGCAAACCTGTAGCGGAGTTTCAAGATTTGACGGTTCATGCTTTACATTTCAAGGCTTCTTCATACAATCAAACAAATACTGAATACGTGTCTCGTTTTGTCTTCCAATATAACCAAAAGGAAAAATATTCTCTTATCTCGCATATTCTTTTTTTTTTTTTGTCACAATCGAATGTTCTTCAAAAGTATCAAATAAGTAAGAAGGAGAAAGGCTTCACAAAAAATAAATTCCGACAGAAAATAATTTATTTATATTATTTACTTATGGATGCCCAACATGGTTAGAAGATTGAAACACAACAAGTTCAGCACAGCCTCAAATTTCTTGCGTATGAGTTAAGACGTTGTGAACTGTTTTTATGGGCCGATAAATCAAATAGAAACTGAAACTAAAATGGGTTTCCAACACATAGGCTCATTTTCTTCAACTGGAAGAAAGAGTGGATATTCATTTATTGAAAATTGTTTTAGGTTCATTTGATAAGTTTTGTTATTCCTTCAGTGCAGTACACGTTGCTCTAAGGTGCGGATGACGGACCTTCAAACTCTACCTGCCTCAGCTTCTTCCACGCTCTTGGCAAAGCACTTTGTACTATCTATGGGCTGAGAGGAATAATAGAACGAGAATATCAAGTAGAGGGTTTGATAATCCAAGGAACTCCTCACGCATGTTGCAGCAGTGGTTTTCTACTGACTTCTGATACTAGATCACTATCTACTTCATCGACTCTACTTTCTTCTCTTGGGTTCAACTTGGTTCCTATATTGTGTGTTTCTATTTGGCTATTTACTAGATTTTTTAGATATAAATCGGTCTAGGTAGCAAAGAATTATGTTTGATTTGTGTATGACAGGAAGGAAATTTTAAAAGCTACACAAGAGTGTTATGTAGTTCATAAACTATTTATTTATATTCCATCTGTTTCTTAAAAAAATTCCATTAGTTTCTTAGAAAAGTCATTTGACTATTATTTAATGTAAATATATGGTTTATGTAAATTTAGTTGTTAAGATTTAAAAGTTTTTGATTAAATCTGAGATTCAATAGCTAAAAGAAACATTTTTTTGTAGAATATAATACAAGTATTGTGTAGGTTTCAATATGTTGTAAATAAAATCGTTCGTTGTGATTGTATGATGCAGAGATAACATGTCTATCAAGAATTTGGTATATACAGAACTATTAATCGATCCAAGTGTTATGATAAAAATTACACTGTGAATTATTGTTTATAAAATTGTTATCATGTTGACATATGTCATATATTGATTATGATATCAAATAGAAGAAATATTAAGTGATGATTACCTACAAAAGAAAATCTGGTTGATCAACCACCCAAATCTTCTTCATGTGTTTGTTGTTCATTAACAAATAATCTCGATTTAAATATAGTAAACCATACAGAAACAGATACTTATCCAGATCTACGTGCATTTAATAATGTAATTAATTATTATTAAAAACTTTTAGGTATAATAAAGGAATTATTGGAGGCAGGCTTCCCTTTAACTATTAGAACGTAAATATTTTAAGATATAAGATTCTAATCTCTCTAACCACCACCAGTGATTAGCCCTCGTACACTTTCCATTTATGAACAACACGTGTTACACGTATTACTTCTCAATCTGTATATTTTGTGTTTCAAGATTAGTCCAGGTTTTAAATCTTTTGATCTAAGGCTCGTTCAGAAAAGGGGGTTGGAGCCAATCATTACATTTTTACGTTTCAAGCTTTTTGGGCGGTCAAATTCTACTTTTTAAGTAAGAAAAACAAAGGGCTATTTGTAAAAAAAAAAGAAAAAAATCAAAATCAAAACTAGTATTTTTAGAAAGAAAATAGAAAAAAAGTAAGAGGAAACATAGTAGAACTTTGGTTAGTTTATTAATTTTGGATTTTTGTTGAGTCATTAGGACCAATTTCTCAAAGACAAAATCTGTAAAATTGGTTGAATAGGACTCATTCTCTTTCAATCCTTGTTAAAAAAAAAAAAAATTATTTCTACAAAATATATATTTTTCATTTTCAATACATTAGTTAATGTTAAGTTGTAAACTTCAAAACTTAACATCTTATTGATTAAGAGTTAGGAAGAATAGTAAATTACAAAAATAATGAATTAGTAATTCAAAATTTTACATATTTTTAATATATGTAAAAATTATAAAACATACATCTTCTTGAAATAGAGAGAGTATTTTTTAACTTATATAAGATCGGTATTGTCTCTATGACCAAAAGTATTCATTATAAATTAATTTCTAGAAAATTATTGGTAGTGATATAATTTAAAGAATTTTTTTAGAAAATTATTGATAGTGATATAATTGAAAGATATATAATAGGATCCTTGTTATAGCCAGTACCGGTCCTGACATGAGAAAGACCAGAAGCAATTTTCTAAAAATTGGCCACTTTTATAAGAACGTTTATATATTATAATAATATTTTTTTTATAAAAAAAGTTGAAATTTTTTAAATATTTTTTGAAAGTCGGAAGCGGTTGCTTGTAATGCTTTCCCTCAGGGCCGGTACTGGTTATAGCAATAATATAAAATAAAATTATCGATCATAACATGTGTGTGCAGGCATGTAGAACAGGTAATAGTAAAAGATGAGTCAAATGGTCACTGAACACGAGCAAGATCATGATGATCTTATCAACGGATTAATTCATAATTAATAAAATGACGTTAATAAAGATGAATTAGTAGCTCGTCAGAAGTCAATGTCCACAGGTGTCCATATAGTTTTTTTTTGGTAACTTACTAGTTACTAGTGTCAATGTAGTTTCTCACTAGCTAAAATCTGAGCCAAGGATATATGAGATGCATCATGCTCATGCATGTACATATGTACATACCCTATTTGAACTATTAGTGTCATAAAAGTGTATACCTATCAGTCACGAGTTTAAGTTCTAGCAGAATTTAAGTTGTGATTTGTTCAGTTAGACAAAGACGAAACTATGATTTAAGCTTCATTAAGAAAAATTGAGGCCTTTTAATCGTTGATACTATCGTTCTTAACTCTTAAGAGTTTAGTTGAGTTTTGCTCTACATATCTTAAAATTAATCGAATTTGTTGCTAAAAAACAATTTAGAAAATAATTTTTAAAATATTCTAAATTCATTACCACTTTTTAAAATATATTAAAAAATTATCTTAATCTTTGAGTTTATGGTTTAGTAATTATTATTTAGAGTATGAATTAGTTTCTAAACTTATATGAAACATTACTAAACTTTTATAAATTATTTAAGAAAATTAATTTATTTATTTTTATCATAAACTTAAGATATTTATGAAAACGATCATTTAAAAAAATGAAAAATAATATTAAATTTGTGGTAAAATTGAAAACCTCACATAAGTTAGTAACTCGTCGGAGGTCAATGTCTAATAGTGTCATTATAGTTTCTCATTGTAATCTAAGCCAAGGGGATTTACTAGTGATCGTAGAGGATATATGCATGTATGTACATACATATCCTATTTGGAGTATTAGTGTCATATAAGTGAATAAAACAAGAGAGTTGACACTATATTTGGATTCATGCTCCACCTACCATTCCCCATATTTATCCCATTTCCTCACACTGTTCACATTTTTAACCTTTTAAAGCAATTCACCTAACAAATTTAGTTATCTGTGTAATATAGTAATTTCAGCCAATTCAACAATATAGCTATGCCAATCAGCCTATTACATGTATAACACAAAACTATCCAACCAAAAGCTATGAACACTGACAGCTCCTTGCTTATGTCTCTGCGTGTTTCACGTGGTTGCTTGCTTTGAGGAAGATATTTTAATGGACAGTATCACAGTTACTCGGCGCCTGGTGTTTTGGAACGTCCTCAATCATGTAGGAGTAGGATACAGCAATTTATTTAGTGTGGGTAAAAAAAAAAAAACTTATTTGGTATAGGACATTTCAAACATATAGATTAAAGACATTTACATACGTTAATTATTAAAGGAAAAACAAAAAAAAATAGTGCGAGTCACATGACCTAAACTCGACCTGTCTCTGTCCTCGATAATGTGTGATGGCCAACTATTTTTTTGGCTAATATTAAAAAAAATACATATCTTCAAAGGTCATCCATAGTGGACCGTCAAAACAATTAATTATATATAATATTGTATGCATGAGAAAATAATGTTAGCTCACATTAAAATAATTACAAGTAAATTATCATAGACTGATGAGTTCTAAGCAATTTTTCGCCTATAAAATGAAACACAAAGATGCATGTCGAGAAATCATATGCACTAAAATATCATCCCTTACTCTTTCTTTTCATCTAAAAACATTTACCTTGACTAAAAAAAAAGAAGCAAAATCAATAATGGGATACCTTGTAGACTCTAAAAGCATGAATGAGATTAATGGAGATGATGAAACCGAGCTTGGTTTGAGGGCAGTGAGGCTAGCCAACTACGTTACCTTCCCCATGGTTTTCAAAGCCGCCATTGAGCTTGGTGTCATCGACGCTCTCTACTTAGCTGCTCGTGATGACGTCAATGGATCAGGTTCGTTCCTCAAACCGTCTGAGATAGCGTCTCGGCTTCCCACACAGCCTAGTAACCCTGAAGCACCGGTTTTGCTGGACCGTATGCTTCGTTTACTCGCCAGTTACTCAATGGTCAAGTGCCAGATAGTAGATGGTGAGAGGGTGTACAAAGCTGAGCCCATTTGTAAGTATTTTGTGAGATACAATGTTGAAGAAATGGGGACACTTGCTTCTCAATTCATTATTGCACACGATAGTGTCTTCCTCAATACATGGTAATATATACTTACTTTCTTGTTATCTATATTAATCTTTCTATTCCATAATATAATTTGTTATCGAAAACATGTTTCAAAATATAAATCTTTCTATTTATTTGATATCATGTGATCAACTAAATTATACAGTTTTTCCATGATTTGTTAAAATATATATAGAAAAAATGACTAGAATAGACCTAAAAAAGTTTTTGTCACAAATATAAGACCTTAACAATCAAAATGACCAAAATAACACTTAAAAGGTTTATTAAATATACATTTTTACCCATTGGGTTAACTAATTCTAGATTTTTTTGTTTAGAGTTGAGAAGTGAGGTTTTGGGGAAAGGGTTTCAAATTTTAAAAAATAAAAAAAAACCTAAAATTTTCAAAATAAAAAATGCTATTTTAGTCATTTTAATTTTTGAGGTCTATTTTTGTGATAAAAACTTAAAAGAAGGCTATTTGAGAGAATTGCCCATATATATAATTTATATATTAAATTATACATTTTAAAATGTGATTTTTTTTTAATCTCTGTGTTTTAGGTGAAACAATTTACAATATGAAACATAGGGAGTATAATATACAAAATGGCTTATTCTTTTCAAATTTTACAGGTCACAGTTGAAAGATGTGGTGTTAGAAGGAGGAGATGCATTTGCTCGTGCCAATGGTGGGTTGAAGCTCTTTGATTACATGGGCACAGATGAGAGACTAAGCAAACTCTTTAACCGGACCGGATTCAGCGTTGGGATTTTGCAAAAGTTTCTTGAAGTTTACAAAGGTTTTGAAGGAGTCAGTGTGTTGGTTGATGTAGGAGGAGGAGTGGGAAACACATTAGGTTTTGTTACTTCAAAGTATCCAAATATTAAGGGTATAAACTTTGATCTAACTTGTGCTTTGACACAAGCACCTTCTTATCCTAATGTGGAGCATGTGGCTGGAGATATGTTTGTTGAAATCCCAAGAGGAGATTCTATCATCTTGAAAGTAAGACCCAACCACATATATTCTTCTTTTTTTTTTTTACCACATATATTCTTACTCTTGTCTAATATGTTGTTAATACCATTTCTACTTACCTTTTTTTTTTGGTCAAAACCATTTGTACTTACTTTCATATGTTTTCGCAGCGTATTCTTCATGACTGGACTGATGAAGACTGTGGAAAGATTCTCAAGAATTGCTGGAAAGCGTTACCGGAGAATGGGAAAGTGGTTGTCATGGAACTAGTTGTTCCAGATGAGGCAGAGAGTAAAGATGTGCAGGCCAACATTGCATTTGATATGGATCTGTTGATGCTCACACAATGCTCTGGAGGGAAAGAGAGGTCAAGAGGTGAGTATGAAGCTATGGCTGCTAATTCTGGTTTTGCCAGTTGCAAGTTTGTGTGCCGTGCCTATCATTTATGGGTCATTGAGTTCTCTAAATAAGATTAAGTAAGAGTTGTTTAGCTGTTTCCTCTTTTGTGTTTTAAATAAAGACTGTACTGTCTCATGGTAATAAAAGTTGTATTGATATTGAGTTCACATTTCAACTTAGATCTTGAATAAATGAAAAAGATGATATTGCATGTGGTTTGGTTAGTACTTGTAACATAAACAATGTTGATGTTCCTTGTTCTGTACGCAATTCTTCACCTTAAAAAAAAAAAACCCTATTCTAAGAAACCTTAAGGAGTGATCTCATTTTCTTTTGGATTGAATCAATTGAATAATGAAAACAATGATTGACATAAGCAGAGTTGATCCTGCAACACATGGGAAACAAAACTTTTTTATTTTCTTCCTTTTAGGTTTACTCTCTTTCTCTTCAGTTTCTTCTCTATCTTCCTCCACTATCTCTTCTTCTTTCTCTTCCATCTTTGGCTCTTCTTCTTCTTCTTCCTCGGGTTCCTTCTCCTCTTTGATTTCTTCTTCCGGCTCTGCTTTTTCCTCTGTTTTCTCTGCTTCTGACTCTGTTTTTTCCTCTGTTTTATCTGTTTCTGGCTCTGTTTTTCTCTCTGCTTCTTCCACTTCCTCAATCTTCAAATCGGTGATCCCCTTAACTTTCTTGGGAAATGTAACTGTTAAAGTACCGTCTTCTTCATCAAACCTAGCTTTGATCTTGTCAAGATTGACGATATGTGGAATCCTAAACACTTTCTTGAACTCCTTAACCTCACTTTCCTTTCTCCACTTCACCCACTTGACCAAAACCATTTCTTCAACTTTTTTCCTTCCTTTTATAGTAATCTGATCCCCTTCTTTGTTGATCTCAGTATCAATACCCTTCTTCTTGAATCCTGCATTCAGTTTTATTCTCAAAAAATGTGCATGAAACTTTGAATATAATGTTTATATGATGAACCTTTTAAGTGAAGAGTGAGGATGAACACAGAATCGGTTTCTCTAGAATGCCAGACCTGACCAAACACATCTCTGGAAACCTTGAAATCTGTAGAGGAAGAGACATCGTTGTTGTCGCTTGTTCGAGTGATCTTCATACCTAATTCAAGCTCCATTTTCAAATCTCCTTTTTTAGCAGCATGTGTTTTTAGTTCTGCTTGAAGTCTCTCTCTCTATCTCTCTGATCATTTCATAAGTATCTTTGAAGAGCCCCTACACAAGAATATATTCGTTGCTTCCTCTTCAGGAAACTTAAAAAAAACGAAGTCATGAATTCGTCTTGTGTTACTTGCCAACGGTAGGATGCTTTTTAGGTGTCGCAGTTGCGTTGGCAGCAAGTAACATCTATCTTTATATCATTATTGATTTTTTTGGGGGACATGACCAATGCATATACCCGTCCCTACTACATTGCATTGCTGTAAGAACACTTTTATCTACGAGAAGCCAAGAGTCCAAGACCATACATGGTTGTAAGAGAAGCCAAGACCTTGAGGTTTGTGCTCTTACCAACAAAACAATCATCACATTGCTCTTATATTAGTTTTTTTGTATAAATAAAAACAATAATCCTGAATGTTCAGAAATTCTTAGCAAAATAATTGATGAAACAAATTTTATATGTTACATGTATCCTGTATGTGATTAGTACCGATGAGCAAGTTACCGTGTGTAAATGGCTAAATTGGGCTTGTGTAGAGTGAAGATGTTTGGGAATAGAGAGCTATGCGTGTTTGAATTTATGTGGGCCGGCCCACAAGGCCCATAAAAAATTCTAAAAATAAAATAAAGATACAGTGGATCATCACCACCTCTTTCTACTACCTTCTCTGTCCACTTACCTTCAGATAGGTCGGAGACATTCTTTGGTCTCAATAGTATTGACCTTTCTCTGCCATCAATCTATACGCCGAGTTAGAATCAACGAGATCGTTTCAAATGGCGGCAACTTCTCTCTCATCGTCTACAATTCCATCTCTGAATCGGAAAGAATCATTTACTGTTTCTGCTCTCTCTCCACGCTCTACCTCCGCCGTCACATTCCAGTTTCCACTTCGTCGGATTCGAATCGGAGACTCAAAGCTCTCCTCGCTCTCTTCATCAACTCGATCAACTCCTCGCGCTGTAAAACTACCTTTTATCTGTTTCTTAACCTTTTTTTAAAACAGTTTAGGTTTTGTCTGTAAACTATACTTAAGTTAGATTTATTACAAGGAACTAGTTTATGGAATTACGTGTAAAGGGTTAGTCTATAAGGTTTTGGATGTGCTTAAAGTGTATTCCTTTATCTGTTTCTTAACCTTATTTAAAACAGTTTAGGTTCTGTCTGTAAACTATAGTTAACTTAGATTTATTACAAGGAACTAGTTTACGGAAGTACGTGTAAAGGGTTTAGTCTATGAGGTTTTGGATGTGCTTAAAGTGTATACCTTTATCTACTTGTCGGTTTAGTTATTGACGAAACCAACCAGTGTCGTGTTATGACTTACAGATTGAAGCAAAGAAGCAGACATACAACTCCTTTGATGATCTGCTTGTGAACTCTGATAAGCCTGTTCTTGTCGACTTCTATGCTACCTGGTGAGTTTTTTTTTTTTTTCTCTCTAGATAACATAGCTAGTGTTGGTGTGGTTTAGGATGCAATGCAGAGTGTTGGTTTTGGCAGGTGTGGCCCTTGTCAGTATATGGTTCCAATTCTCAGTGAAGTGAGTGCAACATTGCAAGAAAAGATCCAGGTGGTGAAGATTGATACCGAGAAGTATCCCAGTATTGCTAATAAATACCAGATCGAGGCACTTCCTACGTTTATCCTGTTCAAAGATGGGGAGCCTTGTGACCGATTTGTATGATGAGCTCCTTTGACTTTTTGGTTTCTTTATGGTTTTTATACTTAAATCTCACGATGACTTTTCAGGAGGGTGCTTTGACGGCCAAACAACTTGTCCAACGGATTGAAGATTCTCTTGAAGTGAAGTCTTAGTTATATAGATCATGATCTTTTTATTTTATTGTTGGTATGTTTTTTTTTCTTCTACTGTTCCTGAGCTGATCAGAGCTTAGGGTCTAGGCAGTGATTGTTGCTTTATTGGTCATTGATTTAACAAGAATATGTGGATTTGAGAAGAAAAAGGAGATTATGTTTGCCAGATTTGCAAAACCTTTGTTGTGAGTAAACATATCATTTATTCTCAAGCAGTAATAACTTACTAGCTTAGAAAAACTTTATATTTGATGTAGCAAATCAAATTAAGTTAAACGATAAAAGTATGTCTACTGGTAGTTTTTGCCACGCAAGATATTATAAACTAAGATAGTATTTTTACTAGACGTACAAATCACAAAGCAAATTAAGAGAAGTTTGAGACAAATCCTAAACACGTGCATGAGATATGCCGATTCTATTGTCTTTTTAGTTCTTCCTCAAGTCTTGGAGCGGCTGTCTCTTTGATGTCCTTGGAGCTGTTACGTTAAGATTATCCACAATCTTTGAGTTTGGTGCATTCTCTTTCATGTCATGCCTTGTAGGTTTCATTTGTGTTCTGTAAATTAGTATTGGTTCTCTTCTTACTTGCTTCTCAGATGATGTACCTGACCCACCAATGTTATCAGATGACTCGTTCAATGTTTCTTCAGGACTCGGCGGAGTAGCTTCCCTCTTAAGCATTTCACCATCTGCAGCTATTTCAAAAAGAAAAAGGAAGATTCTGATGGTTAGTCATTGTCTTTTAGCTACTTTAAGCTAATTTATTTGGTGAATCAAAGTGATGCAAGATCTGTAAGAAATCTAACCTTCTTCATTCCTATTTTTCTGAAGAGTGTATTCATCAAGAGCTAGAGAGATGTCTTTCTCTGTGAGATTGAATTAAATTAGTCAAGACTTAAGAGCATCCAAACACAGTAACATCAGAAAATTGGCTAAAATGTAAAATCGAAATTTACCAAATGCAGTATCAACAGAATCAGTAACTTCAGAATCATGACCTAAGTGCTCATCCTCTGTTCCAGCTAAGACGCATGTCTTTCCAGAGACATCAGAGCCATCTGAAGAGTACACGTTCGTCGTTACTTCTATGAGCTCGTCTGCTTTGTTGTTGTCTATAACGGATTGGAAATAATTGAGAAATCTTTAAATTATCAGTGTCTTCAAGAACAAAAGTATATGGATTGTTGATGTGCTAATCACCTGTTACTGCCAGTTCCTCCTCCAGTGCGTCATTTATATGGTTCTGAACGTCCATGAAAGGGGTAGATTTTTCTGCATTTCAGGGATGAAGAAAGAGATTAAGAGTATTATAACTCAACACATAAGTATGCCAACTTCAAAAACAGGAAAGTAAGGATCAGGCCACATGATCTCGACTTCATATTAAAATTTTTTTTAGAAGTTTCTCACCTGACACCATGGAACTGTAGCAGGTTTCAGTAACTTCAAGTGAAACCATGGAACTGTAGCAGGTTTCAGTAAATTCAAGTTGGCTGGAAATTTTACCAATAGTCTCGGAATCACCTTCAGCTGGTAAGCCAATTGCCTCGGAATCATTTTGTGTGTTCTTCGGCACCTTTGCATCTATGAGCTCGTCTACGTCATTATTGTCAACGAATGATCGGAAACTTTTAACTATCTTGCACTTATGTATGTCTAGGTGTGTGATGCTGAAAAGTAAGAGTGTTAATGTGTTGGTTACCTGTTGCATCATGTATCTGGTTCTGAATGTCTGCGGAAGGGCCAGATTCTTCTGAGTCTTAGGGAAAAAGAAAGAACATTCATGAGCATAACAACTTTTGGCTATACTAAATCCATGAGAGAATTTTAAGAAAAGTTGCTCACCAGACACCAACGAACAGGTCCTAGCAACTTCCAAGGAGTTGGAGATATCACCAGTTGTCTGGGAATTACCTTTGGCTGGTAACGCAAGGACATAGGAACTGAAGGAAACATTTCTTTCTGCATCCATGGTTGTGTCTACCCGCATAGTGTCAAAGTCAAAATGATTGACTGAGTCGACATGTGGAGAATTCTCTCTGCTTTGCTTTGATGTCCCTTGCATGACATCTAGACCTACAACATTTTCCGCCTGAGAAGCTTTAAACCCTGCACCTGAAGTTTCTTTCCCAGCACTAAACTCATGGCTATGAGAAACTTTGGATGCGGTAATAGTGTTTTCTCTGAAATCTGGAGCTGCAACGTGAATTTCCCTAATCACACTGTTGTCCTTCAAGATAACTTTGGGAGAAGAAGCATGATGGCTTTGAAACTGAGTTGAGCCAGACTCACCATTACCAAGACGGTCCTGTCCAGACTCTCCCAAAAGTAAACGAGCCTCGAGCCTAGTGAAGATGGGAGTCTCGTCCTTGAACTCCACTTCCTTTCGTTCAGAGTTTCCTAAATGGTGTCGTCTCTCTGGAGAAATGAAAACAAATGACTCTTCGCAATTGGCTGCTGTACTTTGTTTTATCATTTCGTCTTGTCCAGACTCTTCGTTTGTGGAAATGTTAGATTCACCCAACAATTCCACATCCTTGTTTTCTTCTTCGTCTGGCTCAAAGTCTCCCATAAGAGTGTGGCTCTCAGTAGTGAGAACATCATACATATCATGAGAAGTAGCAGATACATTCGCACCAGTGAAGTTGTCACAGTCAGCTTGCAATTCCAAAGCATTGCTTTCTTCACTTTTTGTAGCTTCTTCCAGTTCAGACTCTTCTAGAAAGAGATGTCGTTCTAGAATATTGAGAACAGCAGATTCATCATGGAACTGTGCAGCCTCTTTTTCTGCAGACTTTACTGCTGTCTTTTGTTCAGAGTCTCCATACAACAATTGCCCCTCCAGGCTACCTGACTTGTCAGCGTTATTAATTTCTAGCAATCCTCGTTCTCCTAGTTCAGGGTCTGCTAAAGGTAGATCTTTGTGCATCTCAGAGGATAATCCAACTTCCTCATAGAACTGTGCAGCCTTTGTTACTTCACCTTCTCTAGCTTTATCATGTCCAGAATATCCAAAAAGCTCACGTCTCTCCTCCAGACCAGTGAAACCAACAGATTCTTCATAAAACTCCATAGCTTTGTTTCCTCCAACAGTCTCTGCTCCATCTGATACAGAATTTAACAACGCTGCATGTTTATCCGGTCCAGTGCAAGTGCCAGATTCACAATGGAGCTCAGAAGTCCTAATTTCTTCATTCCTTTCGGTGCTTTCTTCTACACTGGATTGTCTCAGTGGACTTGCGGCAATGTTAGACTCGTCATGAAGCTCAACTACTATTCTTTCTTTCTCATCAAAAGCTTCATTTTGGGTTGTATTGAGATCATCAGGAAAGTCTGTGGTAGTATGCTCCTCTTCATTTCCCGCCTCATCTAGCCCAGAGTCACCCAGCAGTAAAACTTTTTCAGGAGTTGTGAAAACAACAGACTCTACTGCTTCATCACTGTGCTGGGTCACTATATCAGCTGCACAGATCTTTCCACTTTCGCTGAGTTGCTCCATTAACATCAAGTTCCTTTCGGGGGTAGTGAATAGAGATGACCTGTCAAGTACCTTGCTAGCAGCTTTGTTTATTGGTGTAGGTTGGGATAAAGCTTTCATTTCCTCTTCCTCCAAACACTCTGAAACGTTCGCTTCCTTATGTGTGTGGGAAGCAAATTCAGTTGACAACAACCCACTGAGCTCCGACGCATTTGGGTTACAAACTCTCTCACTAGAAACTGTTTGCACAGATTTTATTAGACTCTCATCCTTGACCTCGTCGAGATTTTCCCGGTCTACGCAATGACCATCACTAATACGACCAACCTTACAGATGTCTGCTTGTTCTTCTGCACTGCTATTCTCAGTGTTGTATTCAGAGAAGTTTCCATGTCGCTCTGCTGATTGTTTTTCCTTCTCTAAGGAACCTCTATCATCATCTTTGCTTGAAAGACTCTCGTTCCAACACGCAGCTGAATTTTCCAGGACTGCTGTTATTAAACGTCAGAAAGAAACTAAGATTAGATAAAATTGAGTTAACTATAAAAGCAAAAAATTACTAAAAAAATGAATAAGCGCATACCGTCTGTTTCTGATAACTTAGCTACAAAGCTATGCACAGACTTAGGAACCTCCTCGGCTTTAATATCTTCCGCAGCAATAACTGCTGAAACAATATCCTTAACAAGGATATGTCCAGTAGGCACACTTAGCTCGGATTCAGGGTTGCTCACTGCTATATGTACTGAAGAAGGAGGAGGTGGAGAGGTTCCCACAAATAACTCAGATTCAGGAATGATTACTTCTGATGATGCATTCTTTTTCTCCTTATCTGTCTCAGCCACCAGAGATATGTGTAGCTCTTGTTTCTCTTCACGTTCTTCATCCGCAAGTTCAGGATTCAACTCTTGAGTGTTTCCTACTGGTGAAATATCAACTGAAACATTCCCAGACATCATGATGGTTTCTGAAGTTTTGGTCATGGATGTAGAAGGTGAGTCTTCAACCATTCCTTGTGGATTCTCTTTTAGGAATTCTGAACTCGCTGTCTTCATTTTCTTGGAAGAGCTTCTAATTTCCATATTAGGTCCCCCTGCTTCTTCTAGCACCAATTGAGTGTACGTATCCAGAAGTTCTTCTGGTGTCAGATTTACACTCATAAAACTGTCCTTACTAATCTCCACGTCTTCTGAGATGCTATTCTCAGTGTTGCATTCAGAAAAGTTTACATGCAAATTTTCTGCTTGGCCATCTTTCTTTAAGGAACCTTTCTTTTCCTCTTTGCAGCTTTCTGCTGAGTTTACCATGATTGCTGTAACTAAACATCAAAAAGAGACGCATATTAGAAAAGATTTAGTTAGCAAACTGTATAAGAAAAATATATATCAGATGAACTAAGAGTACATACCTTCTACTTTTGATATCTTATCAACAGAGTTATTCTCCTTAAGCTCAGATGTAGGAGTGAAAATAATGGTGTCCTTGGTTATTTTATCTTCCTCGGTTAAAACTGCCGAACCAATGTCATTGTCAGTAGGCACGCCTAGATAGGCTTCCGGGTTGAACATTGCTAATTGTAACGAAGTAGGTGACAGTGTCGTTTCCACAGATAGAGAACAACCAGTGCTGCAGTTGCGTGGAGATGTTTTCACTTCTGAGCGCTCAATAAGAAATTCGGAGAGTGATGATGCTTCCCCTTTGTCTTTCTTAGTCGCAACCAGCAAAATGGTGGCTTGCTCATGTTTCTCTTCACGTTTTTCTTCCAAAAATTCAGAATTCAACTCGTGACTGTTTCTCACCGCTGATGTGTCATCTGAAACTTTCCGTTTAGAATCCAGTACATTCTCAGAGATCATAACAGGTTCTCCAGCTTTGGTTTCAGATGTAGAAGGTGAGTCCTCAGCCATTCCCCGTGGCTTATCTTTTACGAGTTCTTGACCCACTATCTTCTTCATTTTCTGGGAACAGCTTCTCGCTTCCACATTAGGCCGCTCTGCTTCTTCTGACTCCAACTGAGCGTACTCACCCGAAAGTTTTTCTGGTGTTAGATTTACACAATCATCAGCACTCATACCACCGACCTTGCTAATCTTAATTTCTTCTTTTGCACTGCTATTCTCAGTGTTGCATTCAGAAACGTTTCCATGCAAATTTTCTGCTCGTACATCCTTCTCCGAGGAACATTTTTCATCATCTTCAGCTTCACTTGAGTGAATCTCTTTGCAGCATTCAGTTGAGTTTTCCAGAATTTCTGTAATTAAACATCAGAGAAAAGCACATATAAGAAAATGATTCGTTACCAACTTACCCGTAAAAGTAGAAAAAATCGTATCAAAACGTAAGTACCTTCTACGTTTGATAACTTAGCTATGGAGCTATGCTCCTTAAGCTCAGATTCAGGAGCGTAAATAAGGGCTTCGTCCTTTGTTTTGGTACTTTCCTCTACTATAACTGTCGAAGCAACATCCTTTACAAGGATATGGCAAGTAGGCTCTTTATCCTCCTCTATTACGGGCATAACTGCGTCTCGCTCTAGTTTCTCTTCGCATTCTTCTTCCACAGATTCTGCAGCTTTGGTTTTGGAGGAAGCAGGTGAGTCTTCAATTATTACTATTCCTTGTGGCTTGTCCTTTATGCATTCTTGATTCATGGACTTCGACTTCTTGGAAGAGCCTCCAGCTTTAACATCAGCTCCACAAGCTTCTTCTTGCTCAAAGTGAGCGAACTCATCCATTGTCTTTTTAGACGTTATATTGCTCTGATTTGATGCAGTTCCTCCATCCACCCCTGTCTCTGCTGATCTATCCCGCTTCATATTTCGAGTAACTCTTTTCGATGATTCAACCAGAGTCCCTTTAACTACTCTTGAAGCCTTAACTGAATCATTCTTTGCTTGACCCATTAATGGGTTTGCCACACTAGCCTTAAGCCTTACTGACCTTCTCCGATCCTGAGTATTGCCCTGAGCCTCGATATCATTCACAAACCGCATAGACCGCCTACGCACCACTTCAACTTTAGAATCATCATCCTTCCGATGTTGTTCTTCTCCTGTTTCCTTTCCATCTTCTTTATTAGCAACGTCTACAAGCTGCTTTGACCGCTTAGCCGCAGGTAATAAAGTCACCGACTTGGATGTCCCACCTTCCTCAAATGATTGCTCAGTTTTAGCAGCCAGTCGCGTAGACCGTCTCCCACCCTGGACATCTCTATCTTCAAACAGTTCCGGAGCATTCAAATCAGTATCCTTTCCCTCTTCTTGAGTGCTACCACCAGATCCAATTCGCTTTGACCGCTTAGCCGTAGGTAATAAAGCTACCGACTTGGATGTCCCACCTTCCTCATATGATTTCTCAATCTTACCAGCCATTTTCGTGGACCGTCTCCCATCCTTGACATCTCTAGCTCCAAATTGTTCTTGAGCAATCAAATCAGAATCCTTGCCCTCTTCTTGACTACTACCACCAGATCCAATTCGCTTTGACCGCTTAGCAACATGTAATAAAGCTACTGCCTTGGATGCCCCACCTTCCACGCATGATTTCTCAGTTCTAGCTGCCAGTCTCGTAGAACGTCTCCCATTCTGAATATCTTTATCTCCAAACTGTTCTTGAGCAATCAAATCTGTCTCTTTACCCTCTTCTTGAGCACTACCCTTAGAGCCAATTCGTTTCGACCGCCTTGTAACCTTTACTGAGTTTGAATCTCCTTTCTCAACCTCAACAATCCCACTTACTGAGTTTGATCCATCAACTGTAATCCCCTTAGACACACTTCTCTTTGACCGCTTTAGCTCTACACTTCTTCCATCCTCCTCAAGAGCTTTCCCATGTTTTCGACGAATCGTTCTAACATTCTTCTTAACAGAGCGAGTGAACTCAAAAACTTGATTATCACTCTCAGGACTGAATCTTACTTTCTTACCCTTTCTACTAACAACCAAATCCTCCTCCTCCTCCTTGATACCATCATCAGCCTCTACAGAATCCTCCTCAGGCGAAACTTTCGTTTCCGTTACAGTTTCTTCATCTTCCTTCTAAATTATACAAAAACAAATCAATCAACCTCTATATTGTTCGATCCTAATATAGATTATTATCACAATTATGAGAATCAAATCAGAAAAAATCGTGGATCGTTTTGCAAACAATCACCTGGAAAAGAGAAGCGAGACGATTAGCCATCTCGATGTTCTTGAGATTCGCAGGGATCCCATGCTTTTTACATAGGATTTGTAGATTTCTCCTATTCATTCCATGAAAATCCATCTCCAAATTAAAAGAGATTACAACATTTGAGAGATTGAAATATTTGAAAGCAACAAGAGAAGCGTCTTTAATGGAGTTTTTTTTTTGTAGGTAAAAAGGGAATGGGAAGCGTCTCTAAAACTACTTGTAGTTTGGCGGGATTCAAATGTTTTTAAATTTGAATTTGGGAATCACGCTCTTGTAAAATCAGAGATCCACGCGCTTTTACTTGGGAGTGTAATCGTTTTTTTTTTGTGGGTGACGTGGACGGTTACCGATTAGAGGAGAAAATAACTCAACGATATAGGCTACGTTTGGGCCGAGAAATGAAGCCTAGTTAAGAAATGGTTTGACTAAACCTAAAACCACGGTTGGTTATCCTTTAATCAAATTTGTCTGCTTTGGTTCACTCAAATGATTTTTTAATCCTTGCTGATATCTTTTTAGCCTTAATTCGTCTCTGGAATTTACGGTTCCATATCATTCACAACTGTTTTTTCTACGACTAACATGTCAGGTTTTTATTGGTTGATTTTAGTTAATGTGTTAAAACAAAAGAAATGAACATACATGAGTATCAGTAGTGAAAAATTCTTGTCTAAACGTTATATTGATCATTATTCCTGAAAAATACAATGATCAGAGAATAATATAAGTTGAATTAGTTTATTCCATCACAGTATTACGCAACCTGATAGTTTGAATACTATAGTAAGTAACAATACAATAATAATCACCAAGCCTTATCAACAGTCCAAGGACGATGGCTAGCCCATAAACCTTCACACCATAATCCATATTCACTTGTTTTTTTTTTTTTTTTTTTTTTCTGATAACCGCGAAGATTCCAAAGATTTTCTATATCCAAAAACTAATCCTAGGAAGCTTATAAAAATTCGGTTTTTTGCCACTTAATTCGTCCATGGATGACCAATATTACTCGAATCCAGGGCGGAAATTCCAGCTGAATCCCCTTTACATTAGACCAAGGCGACTTGGTTCACTTATTTCTTGTGGTTTTGTGATCTTATTTACATGTTTTAGCCTTAATTCGTTCATGGAATTACGGTCATAATATCTCACATCTTTATCGATTGTTTTTGGTTATATATAATTAAAACAAAAGAAGTGAATATGCATGAGTTTGGGTAGTGTATATTGTCTGCACGAAGTAACATTTATTTTCCAAGAACTCATATTGAGAACAACTCTTAAAAATTTCAATGATTAGAGAAGAATACAAGTTGGATTAGTTTAATCAATCACGGTATTACGATCGAAGTAGATTTCTGATAAGAAACCATAAACCAACAGCCACCAAGCATGCCATCGCTCCAATGCCGATGCCTGCCTTCAGAGGATCATCCATATTCACTTGCTTGTTTCTTTGTTTTACAATTTCTTTTTAGTTTGCTTCGCTGTGTCTTGTGGGTTTGCAATCTTAGTTTTTAAATTGTTGGATGTATAAATAAGTAAATCTTGATATGTCTAATATTTGTTCAGACCATTACATTTGTTTAACATATATCTGATATTAAATAGATTGTGACATGTATTCATATAAATCTCATATAACTATAGTAAGTACATCTTTCACTAAAGGGAAAATCTCCTCATTAGATTATTTTTTTTTTACAAAAAAAATTATGTTTCCAAAATAGCACTTCAAAGTCAAATAATCATAATAGATTTACTAAAATGGAGAAATGACAATTTTATTATAATTGATTATTTAATTATTTATTTATTACATATATATAATACTAAAATTTTACAAAATCAGTTAGTGTCAATTTTTTTATGTCTAATATTTGTTCAGACCATTACATTTATTTAACATATATCTGATATTAAATAGATTGTGACATGTATTCATATAAATCTCATATAAACTATAGTAAGTATATCTTTTACTAAAGGGAACTTCTCCTCAATAGCTTATTTTTTTACAAAAAAAATTATGTTCCCAAAATAGCACTTCAAAGTCAAATTTATACTATTATTTGCGAAGTGATTTTTCGCAATATAGCTCCCACGTTAAAAGTTGTAATTGTTAATATCATTTATACCCTTAATGAATAAAATATATAAACCAGTCAAAAATAAAAACGAATTTAATACTTATTTGATTAGAAAAAGATTTAAATTAATAATGATAAGAATTATCCATAATCTAAATATATATTATAAAAAGATAATTCCTATATATATTGTGTTTTTATCCGAAAATATATTTTAATAAAAATTTTGAAAAACAGAAAACACATAAATAAATATTCATAAAGTAAAAAATTTTATTGTATATAATTCAATAGAGAAAATTGAAAAAAAATTATAATACGTAACTATTTTTAAACTAAAAATATATAATAATATAACATAATGATATATATTTGTGAAGTTATTTTTCGCCTTTGAACTCACACATTAAATTAAATTTAAATTTATATTTATATTTTATATTGTTAAACTTTAAACATGGATTAATCATATAAAATAAAATATAATTAAAAAAATACGTGTTTGAAAAAAATAATTTCAATATATTGTATTATTACCCAAACTAATATTATTCTTTCTGTAAGATCAATTTTTGAATGTATATTTATCGATTCAATTTTCAAATTGAAAGATGGATTTCTATATTTTTATTAATTAAGAAGAAAGGAAATAGACTTTAGATTTTTAAAGTTTTAAAGGAATTTTGTTTTTAATTGTGAATAACTTTATCATGTAAAAAAGTTTAATGTTTTTTGGATGCAAATAATCATTTATTTTGATGATTTTGATAAATTGATTTAAAAATAATTAAGCCCGCATGTGCGGGTAAAACACCTAGTAATCATAATAGATTTACTAAAATGGAGAAATGATAATTTTATTATAATTGATTATTTAATTATTTATTTGTTACATATATATAATACTAAAAATTTACAAAATCAGTTCGTGTCAATTTTTTTTATGATACCATTTTCTAGTCTAAAAACTAAGAATATATAATTTGGTTTCATCATTTTTTTAAAATGAAGTCGTATAATTTCACCATTTTTATAAAAACGGAAATCAAGTTNTTTTATTATAATTGATTATTTAATTATTTATTTGTTACATATATATAATACTAAAAATTTACAAAATCAGTTCGTGTCAATTTTTTTTATGATACCATTTTCTAGTCTAAAAACTAAGAATATATAATTTGGTTTCATCATTTTTTTAAAATGAAGTCGTATAATTTCACCATTTTTATAAAAACGGAAATCAAGTTTTCTTTCTCAACACAAACCTTACTAACTTTTAATTAACGCCGTGTGATCAAATAGAGAAACAGAACAAAAAGTTTAACGCCGTCTTCTTCCTCGCTCGCTCGCCGTCTTCTCTCCTCTCCCAAAACTCTCAGGTAAATCAATTTTTGTTGCCTATGGTTTCCATTTTCCAATGTTTGTCCCTATACTAAATCCCAAAGATCGATAAACCCTAATCTATACTATTAAAGCTGAAGTACAAAAAATTAAGTGTTTGGAAACATGAATAGTAAGTATTTAAAATTATGATGATTGAAAACAAGTATAGTATACAAATCTAATGGGCTTACTTATTAAACCAAAAATTACTGCGGCCCAAAGTACCATTATTATTGTTTTTGGATTTTCTATCATTAATATTATTTTATTTCTGAAAAAATATTTATACATATATGTACTCGTGTTTTAAATATATTTAGAATATATCAAGAATAATATATATTTTATTTATATAATTTATATTGACTATTGTTATAAGTTTTTAACAGTAATATACTAGCCTTCCAATTCTCCATTAAAAATGAACTTAAAAATTTGACTAAATTATTTAGTGTATATAACTTTGCACTAAATTTAGTCAAAAAAAACTTTATAAAATATTGCTAAAATATTTACGGGTCACAACATTTTACCGACGTTGTGTTACACAATACAGTGATGAAATACAATGTTTAAACATTATACTATCTATACTATTAAAGCTGAAGTACAAAAATAAAGTGTTTGGAAACATGAATAAGAAGTATTTAAAATTATGATGATTGGAAACAAGGATAGTCTACAAATCTAATGGGCTTACTTATTAAACCAAAAATTACTGCGGCCCAAAGTACCATTATTATTGTTTTTGGATTTTCTATCATTAATATTATTTTATTTCTGAAAAATATTTATACATATATGTACTCGTGTTTTAAATGTATTTAGAATAAATCAAGAATAATATATATTTTATTTATATAATTTATATTGAGTATTGTTATAAGTTTTTAACAGTAATATACTAGCCTTCCAATTCTCCATTAAAAATGAACATAAAAATTTGACTAAATTATTTAGTGTATATAACTTTGCACTAAATTTAGTCAAAAAAAAACTTTATAAAATATTGCTAAAATATTTACGGGTCACAACATTTTACCGACGTCCTGTTACATAATACACTGATGAAATACAATGTTTAAACAGTATACTAACTTAGTAAAATTGGAACCGTAAAATTGTAATTTTAAAAATATTTATATATACCATAAAAACAAAGACCCGCCCAGTCGGGCGGGTTATGATCTAGTTTAGTCTTATACGCAGTGACACACTCTCTTCATAACTATAAATGATTTAAAACTGAAGCCGATGTAGGATGGAGAAAATAACTCAACGATGTAGGCTACGTTTGGGCCGAGAAATGAAGCCCAGTTAAGAAATGGTTCGGATAATACCCAAAACCACGGTTTTTTTTTTTGGTTTAAATGTTAAGATTTATACCAGATTTTCTGTTTTTTGACATACAAGATGTGGAAATCCACTTATTACAACAAAGAGAACAAGAAACTAAGGAACATTAGAAAAGTAAGCAAAGTAGAGTTGGGAACCACTGTCTCGCTCCCAAAACCACGGTTGGTTATCCTTCAATCAAATTTGTCTGGTTTGGTTCACTCAAATCCTAGATAGATTTTTTTAATCCTTGTTGATATCTTTTTAGCCTTAATTCGTCTCTGGAATTTACGGTTACATATCATTCACAACTGGTTTTCTACGACTAACATGTCAGGTTTTTATTGGTTGTTTTTAGTTAATGTGTTAAAACAAATGAAATGAACATACATGAGTATCAGTAGTGAAAAATTATTGTCTAAACGTTATATTCATCATTATTCCTGAAAAATACAATGATCAGAGAATAATATAAGTTGAATTAGTTTATTCCATCACAGTATTACGCAACCTGACAATTTGAATACCATAATAAGTAACAATACAATAATAATTATCAAGCTTTATTAACAGTCCAAGGACGATGGCTAGCCCATAAACCTTCACACGATAATCTATATTCACTTGTTCTTTTTTTTTTTTTTTTTTTTGATAACCGCGAAGATTCCAAAGGTTTTCTATATCCAAATACTAATCCTACGAAGCTTACAAAAATCCGGTTTTTTGCCACTTAATTCGTCTATGAATGACCAATATTACTCGAACCAGGGCGGAAATTCCAGCTGAATCCCTTTTACCATTAGACCAAGGCGACTTGGTTCACTTATTTCTTGAGGTTTTGTGATCTTATTGACATGTTTTAGCCTTAATTCGTTCATGGATTTACGGTCATAATATGTCACGTCTTTATCGATTGTTTTTGGTTATATATAATTAAAACAAAAGAAGTGAATATGCATGAGTTTGGGTAGTGTATATTGTCTGCACGAAGTAACATTTATTTTCCAAGAACTCATATTGAGAACAACTCTTAAAAATTTCAATGATTAGAGAAGAATACAAGTTTCGTTAAAAAAAAAAAAAAAAAAAGAGAAGAATACAAGTTGGATTAGTTTAATCAATCACGGTATTACGATCGACGTAGCTTTCTGATAAGAAACCATAAACCAACAGCCACCAAGCATGCCATCGCTCCAATGCCGATGCCTATCCCAAAAGCCTTCAGAGGATCATCCATATTCACTTGCTTGTTCTTTGTTTTACAATTTCTGTTTAGTTTGCTTCGCTGTGTCTTGTGGGTTTGCAATCTTAGTTTTTAAATTGTTGGATGTATAAATAAGTAAATCTTGATATGTCTAATATTTGTTCAAACCATTACATTTGTTTAACATATATCTGATATTAAATAGATTGTGACATGTATTCATATAAATCTCGTATAACTATAGTAAGTACATCTTTCACCAAAGGGAAAATCTCCTCAATAGCTTATTTTTTTACAAAAAAAAAATTATGTTCCCAAAATAGCACTTTAAAGTCAAATAATCATAATAGATTTACTAAAATGGAGAAATGACAATTTTATTATAATTGATTATTTAATTATTTATTTATTACATATATATAATACTAAAAATTTACAAAATCAGTTAGTGTCAATTTTTTTATGTCTAATATTTGTTCAGACCATTAAATTTATTTAACATATATCTGATATTAAATAGATTGTGACATGTATTCATATAAATCTCATATAAACTATAGTATATCTTTCACCAAAAGGGAAAATCTCCTCAATAGCTTATTTTTTTTATAAAAAAATTATGTTCCCAAAATAGCACTTCAAAGTCAAATAATCATAATAGATTTACTAAAATGGAGAAATGACAATTTTATTATAATTGATTATTTAATTATTTATTTGTTACATATATATAATACTAAAAATTTACAAAATCAGTTCGTGTCAATTTTTTTTATGATACCATTTTCTAGTCTAAAAACTAAGAATATATAATTTGGTTTCATCATTTTTTTAAAATGAAGTCGTATAATTTCACCATTTTTATAAAAACGGAAATCAAGTTNTTTTATTATAATTGATTATTTAATTATTTATTTGTTACATATATATAATACTAAAAATTTACAAAATCAGTTCGTGTCAATTTTTTTTATGATACCATTTTCTAGTCTAAAAACTAAGAATATATAATTTGGTTTCATCATTTTTTTAAAATGAAGTCGTATAATTTCACCATTTTTATAAAAACGGAAATCAAGTTTTTTTTTCTCAACACAAACCTTACTAACTTTTAAATTAACGCCGTGTGATGAAATAGAGAAACTGAACAAAAAGTTTAACGCCGTCTTCTTCCTCCCTCGCTCGCCGTCTTCTCTCCTCATCTCCCAAAACTCTCAGGTAAATCAATTTTTGTTGCCTATGGTTTCCATTTTCCAATGTTTGTCTCTATACTAAATCCCAAAGATCGATAAACCCTAATTTAGTCTTGTACGCAGTGGCACACTCTCCTTAACCGGCTCTGAATTGGAGAAAAACCGGTTCTTCAATCTGAAAAAAAAAAATGCAATTTTCATGTGATCCTGTAAGTTCTCATTAACCTAGTGAATGGGTCAGACTTCGATTTTGGGTTTTTTCTCATGTTTTTTGATTTTTAATAGGATCAAGAGGGAGACGAGCTGCCACAATACGAACACATTTATCAAAATGACTTCTCGTATCGAAAGTAACAACCTTTCTTTGTCTTGTTTATGTAAAGCACATAGCTTTTTGTTACATTCTTACTAAAGTAGACTTTTTTTTGTTACTAGGCACAAGAAACAGAAGGAGGAAGATATTTCTATCTGTGAATGCAAGTTTGATTTTGGAGATCCTGACAGTGCTTGTGGTGAGAGATGCTTGAATGTGATAACCAATACGGAGTGTACACCTGGTTACTGCCCCTGTGGTGTCTATTGCAAGAATCAGGTTAACGGGTGTTTGTATGTTTGCATGCTTCTATGTTTTGATGATGTCAAGAGTGTAGAATCTTTGTCTTAAAGCTTGGATGTTTGCTTCTATGTTTTAAGGCTTGGTAACGTTCTTAGAAGTTAGTGTGGGCTTATAACAATGTTACTTAGTAGTTTACATGGGTATTTGGTGGTTAACAGAAGTTTCAGAAATGTGAATACGCAAAGACGAAGTTGGTTAAGTCTGAAGGTCGTGGTTATGGACTAGTGGCTGTTGAAGACATCAAGGTAGTCATTTTTCAAAGTGAGAATATGAACAAATAACTTATGATTGTGTGTTTGGTGTTTGCGAGTTTAGGAAGGACAGTTTATAATTGAGTACTGTGGAGAAGTAATATCATGGAAAGAAGCAAAGCGTAGAGCTCAAACTTATGAAACTCAGGGTGAGTAGGGATACTTTTACAGAGATGTTTGAAGGTCTTTAAATAAATGCTAAAGCTGTGTGTTGTTGGACATGGGGGCAGGTGTGAAGGATGCTTACATAATATCTCTTAATGCTTCTGAGGCTATTGATGCTACTAAGAAGGGAAGCCTTGCTAGGTTTATAAACCATTCATGGTAAAAAACAAACAACGGTATCTAGATAGAAATCCGTTGCTATAAAACTGTTCTTACTGTTTTGTTTGTTTCTGCAGTAAACCAAATTGTGAGACGAGGAAGTGGAATGTTCTGGGAGAAGTTAGAGTTGGGATCTTTGCAAAGGAGAGCATATCTCCACGGACAGAACTGGCTTATGACTATAACTTTGAGTGGTACGGTGGAACCAAAGTCCGTTGTCTCTGTGGTGCAGTCTCTTGTTCTGGATTTCTTGGAGCCAAGTCTCGTGGCTTTCAGGCAAGTCTTCATTTATAATAGTAATATTTTTTCAAATGGTCTATTCTTATGCCTTTCTAACCATTTCAGGAGGATACATATGTATGGGAGGACGGTGATGATCGGTATTCAGTTGATAAAATTCCAGTCTATGATTCTGCAGAAGACGAGCTTACATCTGAGCCTTCTAAGAATGCTGAGTCCAACACAAATGAAGAGAAAGATATTGTAACAGAGGAGTCTACTGCTATGATTGTTGAACCATCAGATTCAACTCCTATGGAGGAAGATGTTGTCACCGAAACTGTTAAAACAGAAGCAGCTGAAGAAGATATGAAGCTGACTTCACAAGATTCAAAACAAGATTTATCAGAGAAAATAGCAGTTAAGTCTCTTCCAAGGAAAAGAGGAAGGCCGCTTTCAAGTGGAAAAACAAAGAATATAGTCAAGAAGCACGTTGACATAGCAAATGTGGTTCAGCTACTAGCAACCAAAGAAGCTCAAGATGAAATTCTCAAATACGAGGTATAGAATCTCTAAAGTCCTCCAAAATCTTGATGTGAAGCTGATGAGTTTGTTAAATTGTTGCAGGAGTTGAAGAAGGAAGCAGGGGTTCGTCTCTCGTCCTTGTACGATGAGATAAGACCAGCCATAGAAGAGCATGAGAGAGATAGCCAAGACAGTGTAGCAACAAGTGTAGCAGAGAAGTGGATACAAGCAAGCTGTGATAAACTCAAGGCAGAGTTTGATCTCTACTCTTGTGTGATAAAGAACATCGCTTGCACTCCTATCAAACCACATGACTCGACAAAGACCAAACCTTCAGAAGCAGGAAGTGATAACCAGACATAAGCTCTAAAACCTGCTAGTTGGCTCGGAAGGTTATGGATTATTACATTATTGTACTTGTCAGACTTTTTATGAGACGGTTAATTTCGCGGTAGTTGACATGTGTATGATGATTTGATTATTCATATTCCAATGAGAAGCTGACGAAAAACCGCGTGGGGGGGAATAATATAAAGTCCTTTTTTTTTTTAATTTTGACGATTCAAATTGAAACCTTTAAGAAAAAGTAAAAGTCTTTCTTCTTTGACTCGTCCTTCCAAAGTGAACAAACAAAAAAAAGAAAGTAAATTCTGAAGAAAGAGGAAAGAAGAAGAAGAAAGAGGAAAGCTTTGATTTTGAAGTGCTCAAGAGGAGAAGAGAAGTTGGTTTGTTGTGTTCTTCTGTCAAAGATTTGATCTGAGAGTTAGTGAGATTCGGTTTGGATTTTAGATGGTGAAGGAAACAGAGTACTATGATGTGCTTGGCGTTAGCCCAACTGCTTCAGAGTCTGAGATCAAGAAAGCTTACTACATCAAGGTTTTGAATTTTATCTTTTTATTTCATGATTTTTGGTGTTTTTCTTTGTTCTCATACAATCTGGCGAGAGACCTTTCTTTGTTGAGAAGCTTGATGTGGACAAGTATAGTGATTGTTGACTCCTTTGTTTAATTTCTTACACAGGCACGCCAAGTTCATCCAGATAAGAACCCTAATGATCCTCAAGCTGCACATAATTTCCAGGCAAGTTCAGATGTTTAGATGTTTGAAAGAGAAACAATTTAAATTCTAGGAATCAGATTCTGCAGAACGTACTTGGTGATAGTAACTGATAAGCTTGTGTTTTGTTGTTACATAGCGGATGTTACTTCAAATCATTAGTACCAAGCTAGGTTTTATCTCATTTTGAAGGAGTATTTTTTTTTTTTCATTCAGGTGTTGGGAGAGGCCTACCAAGTGCTAAGTGATTCAGCACAACGTCAAGCTTATGATTCATTTGGGAAGTCTGGGATCTCAACGTTAGTCTCTGTCTCTGTTTCTGTCTCTCTCTTGTGTATTTGGTTCATTTTGATTGATGTTTACTTTGTTTGTGTTCATCCTTTCAGTGATGCGATCATCGATCCTGCGGAGATATTTGCAATGCTTTTTGGTAGCGAACTTTTTGAAGGATACATAGGACAGCTAGCTATGGCATCAATGGCTTCACTTGATATTGTCACTGAAGGAGATATGTTTGATACCAAAAAGATTCAAGAGAAAATGAGAGTGAGTTAGTTTTGCTCAAACTCTCAGGTCTTTCCTTGTACAAAATGTGATAAGAATGTTGGATGATTGTGTTTTTGCTTCAGACTGTTCAGAAAGAAAGAGAAGACAAGCTTGCTCAGATTCTCAAAGACCGTCTTAACGAATATGTGGTAAACAGAGACGAGTTTGTTACTAACGCTGAAGCTGAAATGGTTAGGCTCTCCAAGGCAGGTAATATATATATACAGTATTCTCAAGCCTGTTCACTGTTTCTTTAGCTAAAATGACCCCTCACCTCATTCTATTTGGATCTTCTTTAGCGTATGGTGTGGAGATGTTGAATACAATTGGGTATATATATGTAAGACAAGCATCAAAAGAGCTTGGGAAGAAAGCTCTACTTCTCGGTGTACCATTCGTTGCTGAATGGGTTAGGAACAAAGGTCACTACATCAAATCCCAACTCACTGCTGCAACAGGTTAGTGGCTTTAAGAAACATTTCAAAGTCACTTCATCAAAATTCATGCTTATGTTTTGTTTTCTTTGGCTGTTTTACTTGTCACATCCTAGGTGCATTCGCTTTGTTCCAGCTGCAGGAGGAAATGAAAAAGCAGCTAAATGGTGAAGTGAATTATACGGAGGAGGAGCTTGAAGAATACCTTCAGTCCCATAAAAGAGTGATGGTTGATTCTCTATGGAAGCTCAATGTTGCTGATATTGAAGCTACTCTTTCCCGTGTTTGTCAGCTGGTTTGTCTAACCTTTACACAATCCTCCTATCTTGCAATCTAAGTTCAGTTTCTTTGTGTTTTTTGTAGATGTATTTATGCTTTCTTGTTGTGTAGGTTCTTCAAGATCCGGATGCCAAGAAGGAGGAGCTTCGTGCAAGAGCAAGAGGGCTAAAAACTCTGGGGAAGATCTTCCAGGTTTAGAATCTGGTTTCATTCAGTTCTTCTTGTCTCTAATTAAGTTGAAAGACTGATTAAAGGGTGGTTTCAACTTATCGGGTCATACAGAGAGCGAAGACAGCTAGTGAGAGTGATCCTTTAACAAGAACTGAACCTGGAAAACTAAACGAGAATAGAAGGGACTATGATGATGATACCTCTACTTCTCCAAAGTACAATGAAGCCTCTCACTCTACTTATGGTACTCAGGTATCTTCTCACATAAACCTTTTGCTACAACATTTATGCTTGTGTGTTTGGTAGTAACACCTTGGCTCAGTCATAGCCTCTTAAAAAAATCATTCAAATTCTTTTATAAACTGTTTACTTCGTTTGGTCAACCGTTAGGAACAGAAGAGTCCCTACGTGGAGGAACCGAAACTGGGAGATGAACAATTCAACTATTATTTCCCAAGACCTGCACCACCACCTGGAGTAGAGAAACACACTTCAACTGGCTATGACTGATTCAGGTGAGAATCAGGAGGTGTCTCTTTAGTATATACATAACTCGCAGTTTTAGTATATATTGATAATTGCAGTTGTGTGCTGCTATGTAAAAAAAACTAAACATTCCTCTTTTTGTTTTGTTTTGTTTTGAGTGTGGATCTGCGTCTGTTATTAGAAGATGATTTGATGTTGGAAGTATATGTAAAAGCTATGTTTTGATAAAATGTGTTGTTGTACTTGCGACTGTATCCGTTTGAAGTAATTTTGTGAAGGTATATATAATGAGTTTAAAGTACAAAGAACACAAGTTGTGACAATGACACCATTAAAAAGAGCTGTTGATTCATTGACATGATAGTTAAAGGATTCTGTATCTGTTTAAAGATTCCAACACGATCCTTCATGAACTGGTTTATCAGAATGTCATAAGCACCATGAATGTCGACTCCATCGAAGCCTGTGTGCAACAGTAACATTGTCAAGAACACATATTAATACGTGTCTTCAATGAATATAACTTCTTGAATATCATCAATGCTTAGCAGCTTCCTTCCATAGCGTTCCTTGCTGCGAGCCTTGACGCGTTGACTTTGACCACCGACAACAAAATGGTGTCTCATCATATTATTTCATATGTTCTTTTATTCTTTTGACTTTGACCACCGACAGCAACAAAAAATGTCGAGTTCGAGGAACATGATACTCTGTTTTTTCATAAGTGGACTACAACAAAGGGAACGATGACATCATAAGAATAAGAATTCATTTTTTGCTATGCATGTTCGTTATAGCATACTAATAAAACCAACAGTGATCATCACTTAGAGGCTAGTTTGTGTAGCCCACCTTGCTCTCAATGGTTTATGAACAGCTCCAACAGTTTGGTAGAGAGAGAGCTCTAAACAATATTCAGATTCCAAATCTTGTTGGCCTAAAATGCTCCATGGGACAAGCATCAACCATCCAACTTTTACATTTCAATGCATGTGCAAAGAAACAAACTGACTGGCTAGGAGGACTGATTCAAAACCCCTTTTTGTATTATTTGCTAAGTGTGTGCCCATTCTGTGTACAGTTGTGCATTTATTCTCTCTATGTTTTTTGAAGAATATGATTAATGTTGAAAACCCACATGAAAATGATTACTCTTTGTTGAGAACGTGTTAATGTTGGAGAGATCATGTGTGTCTCCTTACTATTTGTGTACACATGCTTACAGAGTTTGTACCACTTGATAAAAAGGACTAGTAACAACTCAAAACACACAAAATTTTGATTATTTGTTCTGGAATTATCATTTATTTATTTCTGAATGATACTGGAAGCAAGTAGATACATTTGGCTTTTAGTGTGGATGTGATGGTGCCACCGTGATCAATGGTGGCAACTACATGTGAAAACTACTTTTATTTTCTTTTATTTATATTCTTCTCTTTAAATTTTAGATCTGTAAATCACGAGGCTTTAATATAGTAAAAATAGCCGTTGATGCTACAGAAAGAAAAAAACGATATTAATTGCAATTAAATTAATGAATATTCTGTTTTAGTAATTTAATCACTCGTTAAACGTCTGTTTTGATCAGTTCCCGTGTAGCTTACTTAAAGTACTAACGAGTAACGCGTTCGTATTAAAACATTAGAACCGAAAAGACGAAACTAACCTTATATGGAACGCATTTTGAAAACAAGAAACTAGTGGACCAGAAAAAGGAAGAAGAAGGTCAAATAAGGTAAACGACACACGTCGATGAATAATCTAATAAACACCATAATTAAAATGAATTTTCTTATTTATAATAAATTTCGAAATCTCAAGGAAAGCATCAATGGTGGAAAGCTTGTGATAGAACAACGACGACGACGAGTGTAGTAGCTAGCTCTGTACAATAACTAGATCGCAGATCTCATTCATCGAATCGAGAGATTCAGATCTCGTCATCAAAAATCGAGATCTGATCCAAAAAATGGAGAAAACGGAGAGCGAGAAGAAGCAGTCGTCAGTCTCCGACGTCGGAGCATGGGGGATGAACATCGTAAGCTCCGTTGGGATCATCATGGCTAATAAACAGCTCATGTCTTCCTCCGGCTTCGGATTCAGCTTCGGTACGTTTCTAATTGTAATCTCTCATCTCCTAACCTCAAAAAACGCTGACGATCGATTGAATACGATGTATTCGTGTGTGTGTGTTTATAGCGACGACGCTAACGGGATTCCACTTCGCGCTCACGGCGCTTGTTGGTATGGTGTCGAACGCGACGGGGTTATCTGCGTCCAAGCACATTCCTCTCTGGGAGCTTCTTTGGTTCTCTATTGTGGCTAACGTCTCCATCGCTGCTATGAACTTCAGTCTCATGCTCAACTCTGTTGGATTCTACCAGGTATATAGTTTACAATTGAAATTTTATTCCGTTCTAAAGGTCTGATTTGGTTAAAGTGATCAATGATTTGTGACATCTCTGAGTCTTCTGTGCTTGTCTAGCAAAAAGAATCTGCACAAGAGAAATTAAACTATAGGCTAAAAACCTCAAAAAATCGATCTAAGAATAGCAATTAAAACGAATTCTGGACTTGAAAGAAGGCCAATCGGCTGGATCTTCGATCATTTTCAACGAATCTGTTGTTAAGTTTGATGTGCTTCTAACCTAATTAACTAATTAGTGATAAGTAGATTGATCCATCTAATCTTATATATTTACTGAGATCCCTTATAATTTCGGATGTGCGCGATTTTGTCTCTAATATCCGCACAAGCATTAGTTATAAGAGATTGAACTGAGGATCTGAAGTATAACATGCAGTATGATTTTAGTAGCAACAAGAGCATATAAAAATACATATGTGTATGTATAGAACTTTTTGTTACTATTAGGTGTGGTGTGGTTTAGACCGCCACTACCGTTCGAAGCTGAAAACCTTAAATCGGTGGAAGAATACAAAAGAAATCTAATTCCGACTTGAAAGAAGGTCAATTCATTGGATCCTCGATCATTTTCAGCGATTCCGCATAAGCATTTAGTTACTAGAAATAAAACTAATGCTGAAAACTTCAAACAGATCTAAAGACACCAAAAAAAAAAAAACACTATCCCCTGAGTTGAAAGAAGGCCAATCCGCTAGATTCTTTGTCTCAAGAGAATTCTAAGTTTTTTGTTTAGTTTATGTATTCGTTTTGAAGAGATAGTTGTTTTGATTATAATTTTTGTTTGTGCGTAGATCTCGAAGTTGAGTATGATTCCGGTTGTATGCGTGATGGAATGGATACTACATAGCAAGCATTACTCTAGAGAAGTGAAGGCTTCTGTTATGGTTGTGGTTATTGGTGTTGGCATTTGTACTGTGACTGATGTTAAGGTTAACGCCAAAGGTTTCATTTGTGCTTGTACTGCCGTCTTCTCCACTTCTCTCCAGCAGATTGTAAGTACTTTGTTAATGTCAGATCTCATTAGTCCTCTCTTTGCTATAGTAGACAGATTCTTCTCCTACATATATCTGAAACTGAAACCAAAAGCTATGTTTGTTAAAGACAACTATTCTGTGTCTTGTTTGTCTTATAAATTTGCCTTTTTTTGTTTATGTAAACAGTCAATAGGCTCTCTGCAGAAGAAATACTCAGTGGGTTCCTTTGAGTTGCTGAGCAAAACTGCTCCAATCCAAGCACTTTCACTCCTTATCTTTGGCCCATTTATTGACTATTTCTTGAGCGGCAAGTTCATCACTACTTACCAGATGACTTATGGTGCCATTGTAAGGCACTCTCTCTCAACTTCTTCCCTTTGAAACGATTTAGATGTCACTCCTCACTCTCTCTCTCTCCCTTGCTTTTGCAGTTTTGCATTCTTCTCTCGTGCGCATTAGCTGTTTTCTGTAACATAAGCCAATACCTCTGCATAGGAAGATTCTCTGCAACATCGTTCCAAGTTCTAGGCCACATGAAAACAGTCTGCGTCCTCACTCTAGGATGGCTTCTCTTCGATTCCGAGATGACATTCAAGAACATCTCCGGGATGGTCGTAGCTGTTGTCGGAATGGTGATCTATAGCTGGGCGGTTGATTTAGAGAAACAGAGAAACACAAAGTCAACTCCTCATGGGAAAAACAGTATGACAGAAGATGAGATTAAGCTACTCAAGGAAGGAATAGAGCATATCGACTTGAAAGACGTTGAGCTTGGTGAGACTAAAGTATAGTTACAAATGTGTGTGTGTTTTATCATTTTTCAAATTACACGTCAAATACTTTATTTTTTCAAGACTATAAAAGTACAAAATGTTTCTCTCATCATACGTTATTCAATTTACTAGTCTTATTCTTTTCGACATTCTAATAGCATTTTGGACATTGTGAAGCCAATAATCTTTATTTGGTTAACAAGGCCCATTTAAAATTAGCGAATGTCGCATCCCCCGTATACAGATTTGTCAGCTGAACCATGTGATTTTAATCATTTTCTCAAATGAATTATCAAAACAGATATTTTGTTTTATATGCTATAGTTTAATGGCATCAAAACTCTAACAAGGACCAGTTTTCCAAATGTATTCATTTTCGTAGAGAAGACATGTAACTCAGGACATGTGATGTGTGTATTATATAATACAAGAAAGTACATGTGATGTGGTCTATGAGTAAAAGATAAGTTATATTCAATGAAACTGGAAATGACTTTTGGTCATTAGTTGAGTGAAGGACAGTTTAAGAAAGAGAGCAATGTTGCTGGACTTCTTGGTAAGAAAAAGTTTTACTGGGTTTAGAAGAAGAACAGGATGAAAAGAATGAGAGGGATAGGTCCCATTAATATAAATCCAGACCGCAAAAAAAGATCCAAATCCTACAACAACTAGGTACCACCATACTACTACTAGGGCCTCTTTTCTGCTTTATTGGAAACCTCAAGACCTAAAGACAATTCATAAAGATCAAATCAAATATTTTAGGGAAAAGAATCGTATTTATATTTTATTTATTTATTTAATCCCCTCAATAATGTTAAATAACTTGCAGAAGAAATTGGAAGAACTGACTTATCTTAAACAAATTAGCCGCTTGATTCAGCAGTTACACTGATCTTGAACGTCTTCTTATAGACCAAACCAAAAAAATATAATATATTTTTTTGACTTTTTCATGTTCATTAACCCTTATTAGTAAACGTCCTTCACGTGCTCAGTGAATTAACTTTTTAAGTGTTCATATAATGACCACATTTTGACAAACCTTGATAACATCCAGTTATTTTTTTCCAAAAATGAGTAGAAAGAATTAGATTTACTTTTTTGACAAACCTTGATAACCTTCATGTTCATTTACTTTTTTTGCTATTTTCTTGGAAGGCTAAGCATGCCCATTAGGAGATTTAAGGGAGGATTCACACGTTTTTCGAGAGAAACAATGATGAATTCGGCGTGCGTGGGTTCGTCGTGGTGAATCCGGTTCATTATGGATTTGCTACGTGGCGTACTGTGATTCGCCAAATATTTTTTTTTTTTAAAAAGTAAAAAAAAAAAAAATAATTATTTTTTTTTCCTATGAACCCTTCCCCATCAGATTCACTGATGGGGATGCTCTAATAAAACAGGTTAGAGAAAGGGTATGTACCGAAGAGATTTTAACATTAATAACAGAGATTTATCTTTTCTCTTTTCTTTTCACTTTGCTCTTTTTCTCTTTTGTTTTGTCGAGCTTTTTGTTTTCTGGTGAGTTCATATTCTGATTAAAAATATAAATAACGTTTTACCTTCGGTGAGAATCATATCTTTTCATCACTGCAGATTTTCTTAATCTCTCCTGCTCTAGTGAAAAAACGTTATCAACTTTGTATCTCTAAAACCTTTAACCTTTTTTCTCTATTTAGTTCTAAATCGGATTAGTAAGCTGAAAGAAACAGTGAAAACTCAGATGATTACTTCTTTGACCTGAAACTCTACTCATATATAAATAAAGAGTAATTTTTGACGAACAAACACACACCTAATGGGCTCAGAGCAACATAGGTTTGTTTCAGCAGCATGATCTCTACTAATCATTCAAACTAATAAAAATCAAGGTTTTTTTATAACAAAAATCAAAGGAAATAGGCAAAAGTGATGGTCCATTATAGTCCTGAGGTCTGTGATCCAATATTCTTTCCGCTCGTGGAGGCTAACGCCCTGCCGTTGCGGCAATGCGAACTCCTTTAATCTTGGACCAGCAGACCTAACCAGTTCCAGGCACGTCCCATCACCTTAATGTCTCCACATGGATCACAAGCTTGCGCTACCAAGCTCGACGTTAAACACTTGTGAAGTAAACTTTATATATACATGACGTAAAAAGTTGTTTTATCCGATGTGAGACATTTACTGTCGAAAAAATTAAACCGAAATTAAAACTGTACCAGATTAGACCAAGTACAAAACCGGTTGTATTCTGTTTTTTTTTTTCCTTTTTTTTTTTTTTTTGG